GATTCGAAAACTGAGTTCTTGGTTGTTGGTTCCAGCAACCAACTATCAAAAATCGCAATTGATTCCTTCACCGTCGGTGATTCTACCATCCAGCCTCTCGACAGTGTTCGAAACTTGGGTTCCTGGTTTGACTCCAATATGTCTATGTCCATTCACATTAGTAAGATCTGCACCGAGGCTTTTCATGGCTTGTATAAAATTCGCCAAATTAGGAAATTCCTTGATCCTGAGTCCATGAAGATTCTTGTTCACGCATTTGTGACTTCACATTTGAACTACAGTAATTCTCTTCTCTTAAGTACCAGACAGATCGTCTTCAGAAGGTGCTTAACGCCGCTACTCGATTAATCTTTAGAATTTCCAAAGTTTGATCACATTTCGTCCGCCTTATCTCATTTTCACTGGCTTCCCATGACTTATCGCGTTCACTTTAAGTTGTCACCCTTACTTTTTAAATCTCTTGACAATCAAGGCAAACAATGCATTCAAGAATATCTGCAGCCACTCTCCATTTGTGGTCTTCACCTACGTTACTGTGACCAGGGCCTTCTTAAGCTTCCAAGAACAAATTTTTAAGACCTTTGGTGATCGCGCCTTTGCCTGTTCCGGGCCACTTCTGTGGAACAAACTGCCGCTTGAAATTCGAAACAGTCATAGTGTAGCCATTTTTAAGTCCAAGCTTAGGACACTTCTGTTTAAGCTGGATTACAATTTGTTATAACATTTTTAATAGTTTTAAAATTTTAATATTTTTCATATTTTTCATATTTTTCATATTTTATCGTTTAATCGTTTTAATATTTTTATAGAATATTTTGTAAAGCACTTCAGAATATTTTTAATATTTTAGCGCTTTAGAAATGTAAATTATTGTTATTATTATTATTATTATTATTATTATTATTATTATTATTATTATCATGACTGTATTTCAATGTATTGCTGTTGTAATTTGTTGAGACATTGTACCAGCTGTAACTCATGTTGACAGAGTCGATGGCAAGATAATACTTTGTTTTTGTCGAGTGTCAGTTATGGAGTGAAAGTGATGGTTAAATCATGGCTTTTAGAGTTACTTACACCATTAACTGAAATGAAAAATAATGGTATAGTCATACATTATTAGTTAATATTAAATGTTGCCTGATATATGTATCATGTTTTATTTTAGTTACCACAGACTGTTTTAAGCAATACATCAAATATCTGCTATACCTCATATCTCAGTTTTAAGATATTATTACCTGCACGACGTGCACCAGTCAAAAGAGTCAATCGTTTCATCAAATCTTCCGGAGTTGTGTGATAAACAATGCCACCGGTCAGTTTTGATTTGCCTGAAGATGTGTGTTTTGGTATGCCTGACAAACATATTCAGATTAATTAATATTTGAACGGCTCTGCTCGAATATCTTTTTTCTGAATTGAAACACTTTGTCGACAAATCAATCAAACTCTTGTCACCACAGTCTTCATATACAACCTTTCCCCCTTTGTGAACTTCTACAATCATTTCATTCATCAACCGTGGCACATTGATCAAAAGACCACCATATCGGACCATTGTTCATCTTGTATGCATTTCGTTTTGCTTGCTGGTATTTTCTCTTGCCCTCACCAACTAAAAAATCTTTGGACGGTTAGAATATATGAAAGTCATATATTTGAACTGCAGATAAAGACGTGAATGAAAGTGATCCTCGCAGTGATGTGCACTACTTAGGCAGTAGTGAAAATAAGTTAGCTCAGTTGTTAGATCGCTGCACCGGTATCGCAGAGGTCATGGGTTCAAATCCCGTACAGGCCTGAATTTTTTTCAGGCCTTTTTTGCACTACTGCCTAAGTAGTGCACATCACTGTGAGGATCACTTTCATTCACGGTTAAATCCAAATCATTTCGCATATGAAAGATATCGCGACATTTCACCAATCTATCTCAGTCAATCTTATTATGTTGTACCTCAAAAACTGAGATTAAACTATTCTCATATGACATTCTATCCACCTGTAAACAAAAACCACTGTAATTTGATGCGAAAAGAGAACATGGTCGATCCAAAATTATTCGAGAGATTGGGACCTTATGAATTCCTGTTTTAGAATAAAGAGAACAAAAACATAATGAAGAATTTTGATGCAAATCTGTAATCTTATTGACAAAGTCATATTGTTTCAGATAAAAGAAGCAAACTGATTGTGTTCCAGGTTTAATACCATCTTTAAAGAAGCAGACAACCTCAATATCTATGGGTTGACAAGGGTAAGGAGTTCTATAATAAACATCTTAAAGAGTTATTAGACAAACATAACACAACAATGTACTCAACAGAAAATTACGAAAAATCCAGTGTTGTTGAAAGATGGAATAGAACAATAAAACAAAGAATGTGGGAACAGTTCATAGTTCAAGGCAATACACAGTATCTTGACGTACTTCCACAAATATTGACAAAACACAACAACACAAAACATTCAAACACTGAAATGACACCAACAGAAGCAAGCAAAAAGAAGAATAGAGGAACTGTTTATTTCAACATGTTCGGTGATATGGAGACATCAACAGAACCAAAATTCAAAGTCGTTGATAAACTCGGAATATCAAAATATAAGACACAAAGGATATTCTCCAAATTGGACAGAAGAGGTTTTCATTATTGATAAAATACAATACACAAATCCAATCACTTACAAAATATGACTTGAACAATGAAGATATCAAAGGCAGTTTTTATGGACCGGAATTATTAAAGAAGAAACAAGCTCTTGTAAAGTGGAAGGAATATGACGATAAATTCATAAGGATTTTATTAATGTATCATAATAACATTTAAATATAAAATCTTAGATATAATATTATGAATTTAACAAGGCAGAAATTCACATATGGCGAATTGAATGTTGAAATTATCTCTTATATAGATGACAAACAGAATGTGTGGTTTAAAGGGAAACAAGTAGCTGAAATTCTTGGTTAAGCGAACACAGATAAAGCCACAAACAAAAAGACAAAAAGCCTCATCTGACTTTGAGGTCAAGTCAGGCCCGCCACATAGTTTTTAGAAATAAAAGTGGCCTCTACTCGATTTTACCAACTTCTTCGAAACTAAGGACTAGACCAATTCCAGCACCGAGAAAAAGTGTTAAACTGATGGTGCAAGAATATGAAGATAATGTCATTCCTCTACCACTTCAATTTAAAGATGGATGGAAGCCAACACCAACACCAAGAAAAGTAAAAAGTGTTGTGCCAGCTGCAGTAAAAAGGACAAACATAGAAGAGAAAATCAAAGCTCTCAAAGGATATGTGGTCACATATGACATGTGGTCATGTTTTTTATGTGTCAAAATGTTTAGCAAGTCACTTCTTTAAATGAACTTTAAAAAAAAAACTTGATTTAGGGGATAGGGGGGTATCCCCTATTTTTCAGGTTTCTACTAACTGCAAAACTGGTACGTGTCAGAAATGTTTTGCGATTGACACTGCCTAACCTTTGGGAGCTTCGGAAGAAGACTTTGAACAGTTTCATCCCCCAGCAGCGGGGAAACATGGTAGAACAACAACGAGAGTGTCTAATTGATTTTATTTTTATGTATCAATGCTATATTTGAATTAAAAAAGATTTTCTCGTTGCGCTGTTTCTTTTTTTTCCAGAACCTTGTTGCTTCGTGTGCTTGTCGGAGCAGGGGTCATTGGAAACCACATTGTGTTGCCATCAGCTACTCCACAGAACTTGCCCGATGAAGTGGCTCACAAAATGTATGGTGAAGAAGGATTGCATATGTCCGCATTGTAAACGGGTTGTGCGGACTTTTCTTTTTTAATTCTTTTTATTTATTTTCCGATCAATGGAGTAGAGCGTTACAACGACGCGAAGACGTCGCTTGAGTGTGGGATGAATTCACAAATGCATGGGACGACCCCGAGTTTGAAGAGGGCTGGATCGATATTTACCAGCCAACGTTTGGTATTTTCGTGATCCTTAGGAGCGGTTTTTAATTTCTCTCACTGATCCATTTACCCGACAAGAAATCACTGTATATTTGGCCCCTACTACTGATGGCATTAGGAAATGTGAGTCATGCTGTAAACTAACAAGCTGTGTATTAAATGAAGTTTTGGGCGCTCTCCACTAAGGAGAGCACATATCCCACTTATAACTCGAGAAATGTGATTTAATTAATTCTTTTTTTTTTTGAAACGAAAAAAAATTTATGTCATTCTTTTTTTACAATATTTGGCATCACACTATCTTCGTCTTTTTTTTTCCCCGGCTGACTGCCTCTAGGGCTTTCTTTGCTCTATAACCGGCGGCACCTCACACGGCTTCAGCTGTTATGGCTTTACCTCCGGTTATCTGGGCTGGAATAAGGGCTGCCAACGGGAAAAGTCCCCTTTCCTTTCTTCGGATTCGTTTTATGCGTCGACCAGGTCGTTTTCTCTTCATTTTTTTTTTCTCATCTTCTTCATGATGAGTTAAATGGAATGATGAGTTTTGAATGAAACCCGAGCGATCTTAGTTCTCTTTATATAGATTTTTTGGTTTTCATAGTTTGTAAGGAAATTTGATTAAACAGTAAATCTATTGCATGGTGTATCCCAAGAGATGGTTCTTTACACCTTACAATACATATAAATGTCTGATAAAAGTTCCGGAGAGTCACATGGTATGAATCTCATGGCTCGATATACGTACCATCTATCATCGAATACATGAATGATTTTGGAACCTTGGCAAATTGAACAACCCATCTTGCGTGAACTTGTAGTCAGTCTTTCTAATAATTTAAATGTCCAAAAGTCAAAAGCGACTTAGTTTCCTTGGCCATTAAGTATAGGGGTTCCATTATTACATCTTGTCTTTGTAAACTTGATGGAGAAGAGTTTCTGAGAAGTGATGCGGCTGCTTTGTCTCGACTGTTTCGAAATTGTTGTTGGTCTTGGAAAAAAAAGTTGACAAAGTTTTTGATTGTGTTAAGTCTTTGGTCCCCTTCTCCCGTTATGAATTTTAAAACATTCTTCTACCTACATCGGTTCCATGATATGCTTTTCTTCAACGACACATAGTTTTCGGGTCGTGCACAAAGAAAAAAGGTTTTATACTTACGTCATCCCATTTTTGGTTTGAAACAAGTTTAAAACAAGATTTGTGGTAAGAAACAAGTTTGAAACATGTCTAAAACAAAGTAGTGCAAAGTTCATTTGAATACAAGTTTCAAACTCGTATGTCTGCTCACGTCATTTTCGTGTATATGAAAAATTTTCAATGTACTGGTCTCAAGATCCTGATACGAGAGACAAGATTATTGTTTTTTATAGATTTTTAAAAGATTCTGTCATGGTTTTAGACTACGAAGAAGAAGATGTTGCTGAGATAATATCTGTTTCCAATTCTATTGTCAAGAGAACCAGGAAACGAAGAAATTTTGATTTACATCCATTTCTGGTTTGAAACTAGTTTAAACAAGTTTCAAAATCGTTTGTCTGCTCACGTCATTTTCATGGTTTATAAGAAAGAGGAGTTTTCGTGTACTAGTCACAAGATCCTGATACGTGAAAAAGAAGAAGAAATGGCTGAGATAGTACCTGTCGTCAAGAGACCTAAGAAACTGTGACTCCTCTTTCCCCACAACCCAGATTAAGAGAAAAGAAGAACCACCTGCACCTGAAATGAAGAAAGATGATAAAGAGGGAAATGATCTCTTGAAAAAATGGGTTCGAACTGACTACACAAGAATTTTCTGAGTATCACAATTGCGACTACCTTGTAACGTATCAGTCCATGTATTTGCCTTTGGAAGAAAAAATACGATGAGGTTATGAAAGAAAGAGGGAGAGAATCAATTATTGTGTTTCATTCACGAGGTACAATCTCTGAAAAAAGGAACTTCCAAAGCTGGTTGGGAATGTTTGTACGGCATAAAGAAAGATTCCCCAGTGTTCGAGGGATTGAATCGCGCTCAAGGTTATCTGTCTTCTGGAAGAGATCGTTCTTTGTTGCCGTCCATCTCTCATGACATGGCCATCAAAGGAGTGTTGAAATGCCAATGTGAGGAATCCATGAAACTATGCATGTCAAAGTCCATCAGCAATCCCGACCGCCTTTTTCCGCGTTGTCAGCGAAACCAATGTTTCATTTTGTGTCTGACGAGTGAACGATGATGAGCATCTTTTCTCGCATGATGACTCTCCATGTAGAGGGAATGGATCGATTGATATGGAGGATTGTTTTGCAACAATGTCAAGGCACATACGAAATGACGTGCACGGCTCGAGGTGCTCATTTCGATCATGTCATGGATTCTTTGAAAATGTGCACGAAAGATAAAGATGTTTTTTCCCCTTTGGAATTATTTTCCATTAGGTTGTGACGACTCCATCTTGTTTCATCATGTACGTTTTGTGGTTACACAGTAGATAGAAAATGCGGATTCTCGCTCTTTTTAAAAACAACCGTAATTTTTAAGACAACTCATGAAATTTAACCTTGATTTCAAGTCAATCTTGAAATCAACTTTGATTAAAAAAAATAGTTCTTGCACATTTTGAAGGCAACCTTGATTTCAAGGCAACTTGGACTTTTCACAGGTTGCTGAAGAGAGTGTGAATATCATCATCTCAAAAGATTTTCAAATATCAATGTTGTTAACTGCTCGCAAAGAAGTCGTGGTATGCCCTGATTTGTTCTCCTGTCAAAAGTGCCTTAGTAAAGGGGAATAGTATGATAGTTCATTAATAAGTCACGCTTTCAAGCTCACGGTTAATGATGCTGAGCTGAGCATGTGAGAGGATGAAGATGTGACATTTAACATTCCCTGCACCTGACGCTTTCCTGCTAATTAGGAGCTGAACTTTTTCTTTCATATTCACTAATTTCAGTCCACTTTCGTGAAGATCATTGTCTCTCATACTCCTGAGATCGATGAAAAGAGCAAATACGTCTCTGGTATAAAAGTCTGCTGCATTCATCACGCTGTTTTCCTTTCCAAATCTTTTGAGGACCTCTTCCCACGTATCTCTTGTCTCCATTCCTTGACTATACACCTTATTTGGGATTCCATTCACAATCACCGATGCGATCAGCGATGTCGGGACTAAATGACTTCTCATTGTCTTTAGCACCAGCGACATTTCGCTGGTAAAAAAGAAGTCCCTTCATTAACTTCCATGGAACATTGATGCGCTCGTTGATGATCGTGTCTATCCCATATCCACTGAGATTGTCTTGAGATGAGTAACGTGCTCGTACATGAATCTCTTTCCATTGTTGTGGTTAGACAAGGCCTCATCAGCGAGTTCTTGACTGTGAAGGACTTCATATTCAAGCTGGACGCTAGTAATGCGAACTGTGTATCGTCAGATCCTATCACAAAATTGTTTGCAGGTGCAAGCCTGAGCTCGAAAAGAAGCTCATCAGAAAGAGCTCTTGGGAAGAAGATTCTATCATCCTTCAAAATATCATGATCCAATGGAATCCCATTTTTGTTCTGATAAACATCATCGACCTTATTCGCCTTGTCAACTCCTGATTTTTTCTTGTCTTCTGCATTGCATCCGATCTTTGAAAGATCAGCAGACTGAATATCTTCTCTGAACATGCTTGTCCTTTCATTCTCAGTCAAGAAGAGGTCCTTATAGAGCTTGAATACATCATAATCATCAGTGTGCTGCGCGATTTCTCCTACGAGTTTTACAGTCAACCTGTCAACAAGAGCTCTTACTACGTTGTTCATGATGTGATTATTTGTGTGACCACTAGCTGCCAAGTCAAAGACGAGTGAAAGAGATCCTCGCCCATGGACAACTCCATCATCAAGCTTGGAACTGGAACCCTAAAGACTTCACCTGAGGATTCCCTATTAGGGTTAAATGTCACTCTTTGAATTGTACGGTCAGCCTTGAGGGCGTTTGACGTCTTTTTTTTTCAAAATTTGGGTTGGTTTTTCACTGTCTTCTATTTAAAATAATAGATATTTTGTTTAAAATGAATGATTTAGAAGATACTGATCCTCTTTTGGAAATTAATGACGGTTACGGTGATGATGAAGATAAAATAAATTCAGCAACACCTTTTTAAGCAGATTATAATTCAACTCCAAGGCCATTAGGTGAAAAAATTCTAAAGACGACAATGAACAGGGGAGAAGAGAAGGGGCCAAAAACTGCCGAAATATCTTTCACTGAAGGTGATACTAATTATTCGCGAGTCATCACTTCAAATAAGAGGGCATTAGACTCTCTTTCCAGAATTTTTCCTGAGGCAAAAGCTTCGGAACTCGAGGTTTCTTGTAGTAAAAGAGGAAGGTTGCAGGTAAAAATGTTTGGTCAGGGCAAGAGGACATCTCCCTTGTATACTGAAGAAAAGGGTACGAATAAGCAAAGGTTGAATCCATCAGTCCCAAATCAAATCAAAACCTCACTTGGCTCAGAGCAAGAGGTTTTCATTGCTGAGAAGGAGAAAGAAATTGAAGGGAAACAGAAGTCTATTCAGGAGAATCGGGGGATTGACGATGATGAGAATGAAGATCGAGCAACAAGAGAAAGAGCAAGAGATAGGATAATAGAAAATCAAGAGCAGATTGATGCTCTTGAGAATGAGAGAGAAGAACTTGAAGAGAGCACTTCACTAAGAGAGAGAGTGAGAAACATATTCAAGAAATACGGATTCAAAGTCTCAACTATTGTCCTGGCATTGGGAACAACAATTGGAGTTACTGTTAGTTCATTGACAAGATGCCTGAGTTCTGCTACCCAATCAAGAACTTTGAGACCAGATCAGCTCCGATCAATTCCACACTTACCATATCTTGTTTTGTCTCACCTGTTGCTCTTGTCTCACCTGTCTTAACCTGAAGTTAATGTTGAAGTCGCATTAATTTTGTTTGAAGGGTGTGATGTGCCTCTCTAAGGCCTGGATCCCTCGGATCTCCATCTGTTGATCTTTCATGAGCCTCCATACATGTACCTTACAACAACTGATTTCATCCCCAAATTAACTGATTTGTTGACTCCGAGCTTAATTAATCCCCCGCCACACCTCACTCGCACGACACCACCAACAAACGAGACAGTGAATCTTTTTTGGCATATTTAATGAGGAAACAAGGAGCCCCTGAAGGCTCGAGGAAAGCTCCCGGGGTGGAAACGAGGGCAAAGCAATAACTACAATGAACAAAAGAACAAAACGCGAGATAAAATGTCAACTAAATGTCTGTCGTCATCAAGCCAGGCACAGCATGTAAAACTGGTGCTATTAATTTATTCCCTTAGGAATATGAACAATTATCCCCCCGCCACACCTCATTTGCACGACACCACCAACAAACAAGACAGTGAATCTGTTTTGGCATGTCTGATGAGGAAACAAGGAGCCCCTGGGGGCTCGAGGAAAGCTCCCGGGGTGGGAGGGAGGGCAAAGCAATAACTACAATGAACAAAGGAACAAAACGCGGGTTAAAATGTCAACTAAATGTCTGTCATCATCAAGCCAGGTACAGCATGTAGAACTGGTGCTAATTAATTTATTCCCCTAGGAATATGAACAATTATCCCCCGCCACACCTCACTCGCACAACACCACCAACAAACGAGACTGTGAATCTGTTTGGGCATCTTTAATGAGGAGACGTGGAGCTCCTGAGGGATCGAGGAAAGCCCCCAAGCAAAGTCAAAGAGGCCCATACAAGATTCGCTGGAGAGGGGAGAGAGGTGCGAGGGAAGAGGAAGAGGTGCTAGATGGTGAAACAGAAAACTGAAGTAAAGAGCATATTAAAATAGGCCCGGTAGCTTGACCTAGCCACAAGAGGTAGACGTGCTCGGATATAAGGTTTGAGAGCACAAGGCGGTCTGCCAAAGGCAAAGATAAATACTATAATCTTCTTGAAGCTTGATGAGTTCAGCTGAGATTCCACACTGAAAGGCGAATGTAGCACCGCTGCAATGCGGACTTTGCCCTGAGTAGTCCCGGGGGTCCAAAGAGATGAGGGCAGCCAGGTGTTTGATACCGTCATTAAGGCTCTTGGAAGTGATGCAAGAGCAAGCTGGTGCAAAGTGGAAAGAAAGGAGAAGAGAGGATGAGTGCCAGGTGCAGGAACGGACCATAGTGAGGAGTGGAGTACAAATGTGGGAAAAGTGGGAATCCAAGAACGTGCAGGACAGGAACAACAAGGGAAATACCACCGGCTTTGCAAGTTTTTGTTCTTGTAATAGTAATAAGGGCGCCGGAACTGTTGAATGTAATGCTGCTTCTGAAAAATGTGTTGCGTGAGGAGAAGGTATCAAGTGAAGGAGGAACCAAATTTGCTGTGCGAAAGAATGTGAAGAAGCCGATCAGACAGGCAGACCACGAGGCAAGGTGAGCGGAGTCACGAAGGCCGAGATGGGCGTTGAATTGGAGCAGGATGGATGGTGTGAGTGGAGCTTTGCGATAAGGGATGTGCACCATAGACTTTTCCAAACCATTGACAGTCCGTGTGGTGTAAATGTAGTCAAAAGCCTTTGTGTCGAAATAACAAGAAAAAAGCGGAGCCGTCACATGGGGTCAGATAATTGTTAATGGTATGATGAGGTTTAATAGAAAAGCTGACCAGGGTGACAAAGGTGGCGATAGTAGCCGGAGCAGTAGTAAATTGTGGGAGGCAGTAGAAATGGCAGAACTGGAGGTAGGTGTTCCAAATGGATTGGTAGTTCCACTTAGTGGCGGATGACAAGGTGAAGGCTTGAATTTGTTAGACACAATGCTGTAAATCACGCAGGTGGAAACCTGAAAGACGAAATAAGGAGGAAATTACTAGGGCGCACAACTCAAAGTCACAAAGGGAAGCGTAGAACAACAGTTCACGCAAGCAGGATTGAATGAATGGAAGGTGAGAACAGCCAGTGTTAATGGCGAGTTCGGTGGTCCGATTGTCAGTTCTTACTAAAATTCGCTGTCCTTGCAGATCTTGAGATCACAATTTGATGCTGACAGCTACAGCCAACATTTCGAGTGAAGCGATCGAGACAGAGGTTACAGCAATGAACGGTGGGAAGGTGGAGTGGAAGAAATGACCATTCAAGAAGCCGCCAATACCAGCAAGGCTTGCTTCAGTGCAAAAGTGAGAAATTTCGTCAATCCAAGGGGATGAACGCAAAAAGGAGACACCGTGGCACTCCAAGAGGAAATGTTACCACCAGTGCAGATCGGCGAGAAGTTCTGGGCTGGGTGAAAAGTGACGAGGTTTGTTGGGAAGTTGGTATAAGAGGCGCTGCATAAAGATTCTACCTGGGCTAATGCAAGCATAGATGTGAGAAAAATTTCCAAGAAGGGATTGTAAGTTGGATTTTATGGTGCGTGGAGAATGAAGCCAATAACAGATGAGTTCGGATGTTCGAAGTAATTTGTTGGGCGGAACCTCAAAAGTCGTGGTTACAGTGTCATAAATAAGATTGAGGAAAGCCATTCTTGTGGAAGGAGGGCAATCCTTGGCTAGTGATGATTCCAGACCCTGGCTGGTGAAGAGGTCTTCAAGATCCTGAAAGGCCAGTGAGGCGTCTACGCGGGATGCCTCAGCGCCGCTGAAGTCGTTGATGTAGTTTACGCACCCGTGGTGATAAACGGGGCGAAAAGTGTACGAAATGGCGTTTGTGGTACGCTGGCAAGCAAGAGTGATGGAACGGAGACCGAAGGGGAGGGCAGTATCAAAATAAAACACATTTTGCCAGCAGTAACCAAGAAAACTGTAATCTGTCGGATCAACGGGAATTCGACCGCAGGCACGCTGGAATTTGACAGTAGGCGTAGTCCTTCTTGTAAAGGTAACGGACCCTTAGCAATGATGAGATTGACGAAGATCGGCGGAACGAGGGAGAGAGAGGTGAAAAGACTCGGCGAGGAAGGAGTCTTTGGGAATCCCTTTGTTAACGGAGGTGCCTGCGGGGAAGCTAAGGTCCAAAACAACACATCGTTTAGATTCATCTTTTGGGACTGTTTGAACCGGTGAGGTCTGCAGAGGAGTTAAAAAAAGGGTCATGGAGGAATGGGCCAGCGGTGGCACCATATGAGAGTTCTGTCTGTAGAAAGGAGCTGATGGCATTAGGGATGTTGTTTGCGGAAGAGTGCTTTGACTTCAAAGGTGTAGGTGTGGAGGCAGAGCTGAACCGAAGGCAAGAAAATCAGCGACACAGAATAAGAATACGAGTCAAGGGAAGGAACCCAAATTTGAAGGAACCCGGATTCGAGCACCAAAGGCGTTTGAGCAGAATGATTTTGAGCATGAATATGGTGAATAATGGGAGCGTATGAACGGGTGCTGGACAGGGAGAGCTAACCGGGTGACGCAGCAAGGACGGACAACAAAGCGAAGGAGGAGTGCTGTACGACTGTAGAGATGAGAGATAGGTGGGTTTTGAGAAATGCGTGAGATGACTAGTCAGTCTTTATCGGGCGGCAGCGCTGATGATTATGAACGGATCGAAGAAGATGCTGGGCGGTTGGGCAGGTGGCAATTGTGTGATCGGCAGATTTTATAGTAGGCGCAGATGTGTTCTGCTTCCTGCTGGTGAGTGGGATCGTTGCAAGATCCGGTGCTTGGGGTTGAGCACTGGTTAGTCGCCTTCGCTCGGTAATGTTAAAGCGCTCTATCTCACTGAAATTGGCGCCCCAGTCGGCGAGACTGGCTTCAATACGGTTTAGAACAGTGGCATGAAATAAAAGGACGGCGTTCCAGCGATACTTGACATCAGATGTTGTGTCATAAGTGCTTGTTTGTCCGGTGTTTTGGTTTTACGACGTCCAGGAAGCCATAAATGAATTCAGCAGTCGAGAGATCCTTAAATCTTTTACGGGAAAGGCCGAAAGGAACGTGTAGATGGGGCCATTCTTGTGGATTAAGAGTGCGGGTATTATGGTCGAGTTGACATTGTGACTTACCGGCATTGCTTCTGGAACGAACAATGTCCAGCAAAGGAATCGATGCGGGTTTGGAGTTGGCAGGGGATGAAAAAGAACGGGCCTTGGCTTTAGCATCCGGTTCCAGCAATTTAATTTCCAGGCATTGTTTTACTATCTAGAGCTCGAGAAAATCCATATCTTGATTGTCGTGTGTGGTTGTTGATACTGCCGATCCGCATAGTGGCGTGCCTTCTTGTCGCAGCACAGAAGTTGTGGATGGTACGCTGAGAAGCATGTGCTCAAAGGCAGGAAGATCATAAAGAAAGCCGCTTGGTAAGGATGGAGGCCTCTTCGTGCGGAGGGACGCGTCGCAAAGCAATAACTACAACGAACAAAGGAACAAAATGGGAGATAAAATGTCAACTAAATGTCTGTCAACATCAAGCCAGGCACAGCATGTAGGCCTGGGTCTAATTTATTTCTTCCCCAAGGAATATGAACTATCTCAGCGATTGCCTTCTTCAGGTTGTTTTTATACCCAACCATACTCTGAGTGTTAAGAAGAAGATTTGAGGACATAAGCCAAGTGCATGATGAGAGTGCAAGATCAAGCCCAACTTTTGCCTTATCAGTTGCGAGCTGAAACCTCTGAACACTCGTCGAAATTTCTGGCGTTCTGATCGGATCCTCAACCAATATGAGGAACTCATGTTGAACTTCCGTAGCACTTCCAGATGAACCCAAAATTGATGATCTGATAGTGACTTGTGCACCAAGAATGTAATAGACGAATGCTTCATTTGACTGATTCAGCCTACCCATCCCAGCTTGTGTCAGTCCTTCTGAATTGCCTGCCATGAAGAAGTCGAAGTACCTCTCAACTTTCACCTCATCGTTCCTTATGAAACAAATAAGATTTCCTTTGATGCCTTTTCTGTCCTCATTACTGAATTTTTTTCTTCCAGGGTAGGTTATTTTAACCTTAACAAAAACAGATGCGAGACCATGATTATCGCCTTCTTTGAATCAGAATTCTATCTTTCCCCTTCCCGGCCGAGGGCTCGTCCTAGATGAAATTCCGAATTCTGCACATATTCCTTTAAACGATGGCGTTTCATAATTATTATTTATCTGATTGAACGTTGGGTCTCCTGCAAGAGCCGCTTCACATTGAATTCCACCCATCTTAAAAAGAATCCTTCTGACTGTAAAGTACATGTGAAATGTCAGAAACGACTTGATCTGTTCTGGAACCTTATTAAGAACTTCACAAGAGATTCCACGGCCAGTCGTTGAACACCATACTGCAAAGTTGAGCTGCTGAGGCCAGTAGCTTATCTCCAGCCCCACAAGCCATCTCTTTGATTCTCCGCTTGAAGTGTGCTGGATTTTCACTCTTGTGAATATTCCTCTGAATTTTGCATTGAAGTAGTGGGATGGGTTAATAAAGATTTTGATATCCTCATTCAAGCAGCTGACAGAATGGATCTGCTGGCACCTTTTTTTTCTATTTGGTTTAGAGTGAGTTTGAGGGGAAAACCTCCAATTCCAAGTGCCTGCTTCACGTTATAATCCCAATATCTTCTTTCTGATCCTAAGACCCTGGACCGAACTCCACCTGATCCACTGAAGTAAACTTCAGCTGTTGCTTGTCTTTTAGGCCTTTGGCTCGGCCCTAAAAAGGCTCCACCGAGCGACACTTGTACACTGAACTTACTCAAGTCTGCATTTGGATACCTGCGATTTTATTTGCTTCATCTGATCTTAGTCGCACAAACCCAAAGGGTCAGAAATCGAAGAGTTAAACATTTTCATTGCCTTTATAATCAAAATGGTTGTTTTTGACAATTATCGCCGATTCAAATGATCTCACGGCTCACGTCAAAGAGCCGCCGAAGGCCTACCTCCCAGCAGTGAAAGATATCAACATATTAGGCTAGTAAGCGTTTCTTTTTTTCCACTCTTAGTTTAATTTGAAGCGAAGTGGAGAAATCTTTGTATTCAATGCGCAAGGCACTCCAACTGTAACGAGAATTTCAGAAAGTAATTATTCACTCAAAAGCCTTGGCCAAGCTCTTCAAGATACATTGAAGAGCGAAGGAGTGGAGATTGAAATGAATACTCCAAAACGAGTTTTGGAAATCCAAAATCCTTAAAATAAGCACATCCTTTTTGGCAATGATCTGGCTGATCTTCTCAGAATTGAATGAGGTTTGCAAACCATCAACTTAATCAAAAAGTTGATATCATTCACCAACTACCTTATCCATTGCGATCTTTTGGATAAAAACGAAAACGTATTCAATGGAGAGCCCTCAAGGATTCTTGGATACTTCGACATTTTTGGGAAACCCTTTGGCAGGGTTAACTATCATTTTGAAGTCCCAACGGAATGGAAAAATATCACTGAGGAATTATGTCACATCTATGCGAATTGCCGTGATAATGATAATGATATTTGAGGTTTGAGTTAGAGATAATTTAATGATAAAAATGTCTCCTGAAAATATTTTGCGAAGCACTTTGGGTCACGGGCCGCTTTATGGCCGAGGCTCTTCGAGCCCAAGCCCTTTGAGGAAGGGGTCATAAAGTGGCCCAAGTTCTTCGAGCCCAAGCCCTTTGGGTCAGGGGCTGCTTGAGACACTTCGTTGCTCCCGGCATGATGTGCTTAACAGCCCAAGCGCACCGCTGATTTATCCAATAATACCAGATGATTTCAGGTTGAGGATGATCTGTGATTGTCAGAAGGACTTTTTTTACAGGCCTGTCTCTAAAGTAAAAATGGTCACGTATGGAAAGCCGTTAGCCCTGATGATCGACCTGAAAAAAGCTGATTCGGAAAAGCTGGTTGAAAACTACGGAACAACATGCACCTATCTAAACTAAGAGGGTAACGACCAGGCCGCAAGTTCCCTAATACAACGTGGAGATCGCATTGGTAAAAAGACAGAGACGTAAAGCAGAAAAGACCTGGTGAAGGACCAAATTAACATCGTACTTCCTAACTTTCAAGGAAAAGAGAAACCATGTCACCCTTATCATACATAAAGCACGGAAACTTTTTGTACGGACTTTGTAGATGACAATAGTTGTGATCTTGGGAAGCTGTTTAGAAGAATGAAAGCACTCCTCGCGCCGATGGATAATCTCTGTTTTCCTGACTATCGTAATAATCGTGCTCTAGCTGATGACATATGCAGATTCCTTTGTCCCAAGATCATTAATATCGGGAATGAACTTGGAATCATTAAAGCCTCTACGAAAGAAGAGGACAAAGATAAAGACGGTCCTGAAGTAATGGAGAATCAACCCATATACGAGTTTCGTCAGCTCTCTCGTGAGGATGTCCGCAGCCTGTCCAGAAGTCAGCTAAAAAGGCCTGTACCCTCGACCCAATACCCACATCTATGGTCGTAGCCTGCCTAGAGGAAATGCTTCTAATAGTAACGTATATACTTAATTCTTCTTTGGGATCAGGTCATTTTCCCCTTCTATGGAAAGGAGCTCTTGTCGCTCCACGTCTTAAAAAAATTTGGGAAAGATATCTTGTTCTCAAACCTACGGCCTTTGAGTAACCTCCAGTTTATATCAAAACTTGCTTAGCGCGAGGTATTAAATCAGGTTCACGAGCACACGATGACGTTCCAGCTTTACCGATTATAACAATCTGCCTACCGCACTGGTCACAGCACAGAGACCATGCTGCTTAAGGTGCACAATGACATTCTGTTAAGCATGGATAAACAGAGGGTCACACTGCTGGTGTTTCTAGACCTAAGTGTGGCCTTTGACACTGTCAATTACCAGGTGTTGCTCAAGCGATTAGAATCTAGCTTTGGAATGTCTGGGACTGCTCTTAACTGTTTCAAATCATACCTCGACGGAAGATCTCAGCGCATCTGTGTTGAAGGCTGCTGCTCTAGGAAGTTTGTTCTACGCCATAGTGTCCCTCAAGGTTCATGCCTTAGCCCCCTATTGTTTACAATCTACGCTAGTAAGCTGTTTGAAATAGTCAAGGCTCACCCTCCAGATGAGCACGCCCACGCAAACGATACTCATCTCTATCTATCCTTTAAACCGGATTATTAGGACAACCAAACTGAAGCCGTGGATGATGTGCAGGAATTTATTGAAGAGATTAGGGTATGGATAGCGGCGAGCTTGCTAAAGCTTAATGAAGACAAAACCGAGGTCATCCTAATTGGTACTAAGCAGGAACTCGATAAAGTGAATATTGCACACCTAGAGATCGGTCAAGCATCAGTGCCAATTGTAAGTTCTGCCGTCCGCAACCCTGGTGCGTGGTTTCACGTTAACCTTAAAATGACAGAACAGATCAACAAGACTTGTCAATCAGTTTACCATCACCTGCATAATATCGGACAAGTAAGGAGGTCCTTGACGCCTGTCTCCACGAAACTGCTTGTACAGGCAGGCATTGATTACTGCAACGGTCTTCTTTATGGTGCACCAGCTGTGCATCTTTCCAAATTGCAACGTCTCCAGAATTCCGCAGCGCGACTTATCACCCAAACACCCAGATACTGTCATATTACCCCAGTGCTGCTTGCACTGCATTGGTTACCGATGAAGTTCCGAATTTGCTATAAAATCGCTATGATCTCTTTCAAGGCTATTCATAATATCGAGCCTGCATACTTGAGTAATCTCATAAATATTGAACAATGTTCTCGCTATAACCTGCGGAGTAATGTGGGCGTTATTTTGCAAGATCCTACCGCTAAGTTCAGATGCACTCTTGGAGACAGATCATTCACTGCAGTTGCTCCAAAGATATGTAACAGTTTACCGGACTATATTAGGAAAGAGAGTGATGCTGGAGGGGCCGTGGTTTTTATGAGAGGCCAACGGTCCAATTTAGCGATTTACCCCGAGTGTGAATACTTTTTATAGAAACGATAGGATTTCTTTATGATTTACCCATTGTAGCTTTAACGTTAGCTTTTTACTTAAGTTTGAAATTGAAAAATAAGCGAACGTTACCGCCAACCTCAAAAATTTAAAGCACACGGGCAGAAGTTATTCGGCCCCTAAGTCAGATTGGGAACAGTAGTTCCTATAGCTTGATTCGAACCCGTGACTCGGACGACTTTCGTTGTTTAGGTTGCGCGCCCACAATTATTAGAAAACCAACTCGTAACTCCATGGTTTACTAATATGAATTGTCGGTACATAGCTATTGTCAGTACTAGACGGGGCTGGGGGATGGAGAAGGAAGTTTGTCTCTTACTGAAGGTACCATTGAGCGCATATTTGGCAATAGATGAAAGCAGAAATCCTACACAAATGATCATAATAGCGTTACAGAGAGGAATCAAGAAAAAAGAGAATAAACTTCATTTCACTGAAACAATAACGCAAAAAAAAGCAATTACATCACCGGGGCAACTGCAGAATACAGGGCCACTTCTAAAGAGCATATATTTAGTGGCTCCTTTTGCTCGGCAGAGGATGTCTTCTCTATTAACAAAGAAGGAGATGCACCAAACGAGCGGGCCCGTTATTCAAGGAAAGTTCATGTAAGAAAAGCACCAATCAGATGTCTCTTTAGAGCGTTGTGTATCGCTTGTGTACTGTGTTCCCCACGATCAGCAGTCTCGAACCCAGGTTCATTGGGGCTTCTTGTCAGTGGTATTGTCGCCAGAAAAAGGTAGGTAGGTCATGTATGGAGATTTCTTATGTTCTCAATACATTAAATTATTATGTTCTATACTTTACATACTTACAGTACATACAGTAGTGATTCCTTGGATAATAAGCTTGGATACCCTCGATCAAACAACACAACAGCCGATTTATGAGGACCTATGAGGGAACACCATCTAAAAACAGGAATAATGAGGATCGAAATGCACCAATAACAGCATACCAACGTGCTACAAATAGCGACACGTAAACAATCGACCTCGACCCCATCGCCTGATAAAAACTAGCGGTATTGCAGTCGAAACGTGGCGATCAACGTTAAAAGTGACTTCATCGTGAGACAAACTAGCAAAGTTCATCTCCTGACATAATATGTATTGAGAACATAATAATACCCATACATGACATACCTACCGCAAATTGGTGACCACACCGCTGACAAGGAGCCAAAATGACTGTAGTCGAGATTACTCAATCTCGAGCCCAGGGTCATTATGGCTCCCTGTCAGCGGTATAGTCACTAAATGGAAAAATGGAACAATTAAGGGAACCTGATCTCGAGATTGGCCCCTTAGCGAAAACTGGCCGAGAAAACCCTGGGACTACCGAAACTGAAACTAACGTAGGCAGGAAATGCTTCAAAGAGGCGTAATTGTGCTAACGTAGGCAAATCTTATGCTATACCTTTGGTTTCCTTCTTTTGAACTTAAAACTTAGCTGCTTTGTTTCGCACTTAACGGAGGGGTTTATAAAAACATACGATAGCAATGGATAACGTGACTGATAACGTTCAATTTGAAGACAAGCTACCAGATCGTTATGTCTGTCCTCTGTGTAAAAAGGTACTGAAAGATCCATTACAAACTTCATGTGGCCACAGATTTTGTTCGAGATGCTTGAAAGCTTCCGTAAGGTAAGTCAGAATGTTTACTGCCGTGTGAGCTTTACCTTAAGTTATGTTTTTATTGTTTATTTTGTTGCGTGCCACAAGCGGTCAGCTTGGCGGCTAATTAATGTTCCATCGACTCTCAGTTTTTGTAGTCGTGTTTTCCAATGATCGGTAAAACATGAGAAGTCAAGGCTACGTATATATTATTTTTCAATCCGCTGATTCACATTTACACTTGTGATTGGCTGTGTTTTCGCAAAATGGGATGTCTCCCTTAACATTTCTGAAAGTGTTTTGTTTACAGACATCGCTAAACGATGTAATTTTTTAAATTGACAGTTGTAAAATTGTAGATCGTCATAGTAAATAACAGTAGTAAGACTGAGTGAAGCCCAATTCGTGCCATATTATCCAAATTGGATGATTGCAAAGTGGAAATGACATTTGTTAATCACGAGTTGATTAATCAAAATGATGAAAAAACTGAAAAATAAACCAGTTAACCTTAAGTTATACCTTTCAAAAGGAAAACAAAAAACAGTTCATCTGATATAATGTAATATGATGGGAGATGCACAGTCATAGCATGTTGCTTAGTGCTTTTCATTACCAAAGATGAAAGGAAGGACATATAGAAATGTATCATCTGAAGAAGGGAAGGTTCTGAGATCATGAACTACAGAAATATTCATCTTGTTTTGTTGGAGACATAAATTAGAAGGTGTGTTCTGTTTCCAATTTAAAACCCTTAAGTAATGGATGGATGACCTCTCATTAGCAGAAATTATTTGAAGAATGGCTCGAGCTACCTTGTTGGGAGGTGTAATTTTAATGACAAATTCATTGAAGGGGAGTTGGGAAAACCATTGTAAACCATACTCGTAATATTTGTTTGTCACCTGTTACATGACTTGAAAAAAAGCATTTGTGAAAAGGCAGCCATTGTGTGATTTAAAGCATAATGACAAGGCCACTTTTAGTGACTAGTGTTGAAAACTGTCTGATGGCAATACCTTGAAAATTTAGGAAAGACTTGCAACATTCAAGTGTCACACTTGTTTGGACTTGAAGATTTGTGCCTAGGTTTTACTCAATCAGCAGTCCATGTCAGGACTTTCTTCTTCTGCTTTGTTGTATATCACAATTAAATCTTTCTTCCATGTTCAAACCAATTCTTTTCATGATAATAACCAATACATTACATATATTGCTTACTATCTAATATGTTATACTATCAGATACACAAACTCTTAGCCTGTTATGTAGTTTAAAATGTTAATAAATAACAATTTATGTTTCTCTTAAATGAAACCTTAAGTCTGGAAGGTCTGTGTCCAGTAGATGGAGAGAATGTGAATCCATTCTTTCAAGATATCTCTTGTCAGAGGGAAATATATCAGCTAATTTGTTTCTGCAACAATCATGATGTTGGCTGCACATGGAAGGAAAAGCTACAGAATCTTGCGGTAAGTTTCTTCTTTAAATAGATTAAGTCAAACCTCTACCACTCTTTCATTATGGAATTAGTCATGTTTTATGGAAGTGAAAGAACTATCTGGAGCTGTCCTTCTTAATCAGCTTCTGACCACCCATTTAGGTCCCATATTTTCTGCACACTTTGTTGACAGTTAGGTTGTGCACAAGATGATTTCTGGATGTAAAGTTGACAGTACGAGATAGTTCAGATTCAGTAACCTTACCTTTGCATTAATGGTATTATTTTAATGACACACACATCTATACCTCCTTGTCACCTCTTACATGTCGATGTTAATTGACATTCTAGTTGAGTATATTTTCTTTTTCTTTATTACTTTACAGGAACACCTAACCCAGTGTGATTATAGGAAACTTCCTTGTCCAAACTCAGGCTGTAACATCCAGTTACTGGCACAAGATCTTCAGGAGCACATAGAAAAGAACTGTTTATATAAGAAGATACCTTGTCAGTGGTGTGAAGTGCTAATAACTGAAGCTGAACAAAAGGTGTGCTTTACAGAAATGAATCTTATGCTTCATGCAGAATTAACTAATGTTACCAGGGCATAGCCATCATTGCAAATCCCTTCTAGCTTGTGCATTCAACTTGTGAAATTTATTTAATTTACTCTTAATTCTTCATCCTCTCCATTTTCAATTCTTCTTCCATTTTTCCCATTTCTCAGCCATCCTAATTTCCTCCGAGATTTAAGTACATTTTTTTCACTTATTTTTTAAAGCCAACTTAATTTTAGGCTCCTTTGAGAATAGTTTGAGAGAAACCATGCTGTTATCATGTATGGTATTTTTGATTAAGGTGATTCCCTGGTTTTGCATTGTGCACCTCTACTGCGTATAACATTGCAACATCCAAGATGGGGGCTGCTTTTAAAGGCGGTATTGTAAAAAAAGACAACAGAGGCCGGTTTTGCAACAACAAAACACTAAAGCACAGAAAATATGTATCAGATAAAACGAAAAATAGGTGGCCTGCTTATAAAAATCAAAATTTTGAAACTTCAGTAAGCGAGACTGGATTATGCACAGACCACGAGACTACACAGCGGAAGTGAATTTGTCACCTTCACCAAACAACTGCAGAAAAACAGGCATGGTGACCCCCCAGTTTTATTCCACGTATTGAAAGAAAATGCCATCCTCCATAATATATCCAACTTTGAAGATTTTTTCATTTGTAGATGTTCAAATATTCTTTTCGAATAATTGTTGCAATGCGATGTTAGGTGTTTTGCCTGAGGGAGGAGTACTGGTCGGCAGGTGGGCCTATTACTTCACCACTTTGATGTTTTTGAAAATGTTTTAGTAGTTTACCACAACACTGTCGTGGGATCATAGGAGCAGAACATTCTTTTCAAATTCACTGGCTACTTTCTGGAAGTAGTGGGTACTTTACACTCTAGGATAGGATTTTCAATTGCGGTATCACAAGCTAACAGAGTTGTTTTTTATCATAGCCCAAAAACTCAAAAACTAGCATGGTGACCCCAACTTTTTATTTTATATTTTGGATTAGCTTAGTGTAGTTAACAATTGTGCAAAGTTAAAAAGAAATACCATTACACCTTCTTTTTTTAAGGAAATCACTGTAAGGTTGTGACCAACATCTAATGGTATTCTTGTCCACATTTTGTCAGGATCATGAGGAGACCTGCACAAGGTTCCCACTGTCATGTCCTGAAAGTTGTGGTGAAGTGAATATACCCCGTGAGTTATTGGATGATCATATCCAGAATCACTGTCCTTTAGCCCAGATAGTTTGTCCATATAGTATTTATGGATGCTCCTTTAAGGTGAGTCACGGAGACGCGTAAAAGGAACTTCATGCTTTTAATCTGCATAATAAAACTATTTTGTGGGGAAAAGGTAGTACTTTTGCTTGTACTTTTTAAGTCAGGTTTAGTTTCACCACAAACGTGAACCTACAGGGCCAGTTATTTAAACAAAGTTTAGACGTTATTTAACCAAACCGTGTTCTAATCTATCTTGAATTTAAATGAATCTTGTGAAGAGTTTGAAACAGTAAAAGGAAATTTATTTAATGAAAACAGCTCTCTAATAGTGGAAAGTAAGGCCCATTGCTGCGTAAAACTGCGGTTTGGGTCAGACCTCGTGTAATGGACCAGCCCATAGCGTTTGAAAAGCTCATTAAGTGTTGAAAAGAAAAACAAGACCTTAAAAGGATTTCAATGAAAAGGAAAATTTGGTGAACCTTCAATTCCATTCTGCTGATTAGAACCCCCTGTCTTTTTTATCATTTAGTCTAAAGGCTATGCAGTCTCTCTTGTACAGAGATGTGACAGATCAACACCTCATCAAGAGCACATCAGCCATAAACGTAGGAAATCTCTTGAATGCTTATGCATTCAGTGATTTCCGGGCACTAAGGATTTTGAAGGGTTATGTTATTAACCCTTTCACTCCCAAAATCTCATTAGTAATTCTCCTTACTGACTGTCATGAAATTCTAACGATTTTAATTCAGAGAATTTGGTATTGTATCAACTAAAAATCCTCTAATTTGATGAAATAAAAATTCTCATCACATTCATGTGAAGAGTGCACGCATTTACGCGTAGTGCATGAGGGAGATCTCATTTATTTATTTTTTGGTAATACTTAATTGGGCTGGCCCAGTTCAGCTGCAAGGTAGTGAAATATTTTTACTGCACGCGCGTAACTACACGCACCGAAAGTGTGTTTAACTCACGCACATTACACGCACTTGACGCGCGCGTGAGAGTTTGTAGTACACGCGAGCGGCACTTGACTTATGCATGCATCGTCGCCCAATTATGATCGAGGTTTGCCTGCGCAGGCGTAATTTTAGCGAGCGAGTGCTCAGTATTTTCTAACGAAAATTATGCCCGCCATCTTTGGTTTTAATGGCAGCGGAAGGCTAGGGAGAGAAAGAAATTTGTACCAAGAGAGCGGTCGTCGGTCAAAAATCAGGAGAGGGTTAGGGGTGGGGAAGTGAAATGAAAAAGACAGTGCCTCTGGTTTTTAATTTAACTCATTTTCATAGGGTTACCTGCCCTTTTTACGGAAATGCAGTGAAGCGCAACTAATCAAGGGTTGTTTGGCAATATAACAGCCTCTTTGGGCAGGTGTCTTTTCGCCCTTCCCCCTCCCCCTACCCCCACCGTCCACTCTAACTCCAAATCAAACGTGGCCAAGCGGATAAACGATCGCGAGCGTATAACGTTAGCTCGCACTTATAAGACGCCTGCACTGTAGGCTAGAACGAGGTATTATTTGTTTGATGATCTTGGAATGAAAGAATTCTGTTGAATATGAAAATTACTATTCTTATGTTTTTTTTTCCTTCTTTTTTTTTTTTTTTTTTTTTTTTCTTGATTGCATCTAAGGGCCCCAGAAACGCCGTGGAAGAGCATTGTTCACAGCAGACCAAAGAACACCTGGACTTTACGGCTAAAAGTTTTACTAGATATAATGAAAAACTTTCAGAGATGGAAAAAACAACTAGGACTTTAACAACGGAGAAGCTTAGTCTACAGACACAGCTTGACGATCAAAGGGAAGCTCTAGCTAATGCTGTGCGCGACATGCGTGTTATTACTACTAAAGTTGATCATATTGATCGGACCTTATCCGATCACAAGAACAGCTTGAGTGGAATTCAGCAGAAGCTCGTCAGTTTATCCAATTTACCGTCCATAGAACAGGTGTCGGCGCAGCTGGAGGAATTTAGACAGGCAATCCGAGAACATGAAGTTTTAATTACAAGCTTAAAACGGGAAGCGACAAGGGCTGTGGATAACAGTAGGGTGGCAGCAGGGGCTGAGCACGGTGCTGCAGGGTCCAGTTCATCGAGGCTCGATAGACACGAGCATCAGCTAGCATTGCATGATATCAATCTCGCCGAACAAGATATTAAAATTCAAATGCTTGAGGCCACATCCTATGAAGGAATGTATATTTGGAAAATTGATGTTTGGCCGAAAAGACTTCAAGAGGCGAAGAGCGGCAGGACGCCTTCCATATACAGTCCTCCGTTTTATGTAGGTCGGTTTGGATACAAAGTTTGTGCGAGAGCTTATCCGAATGGTGATGGCATTGGTAAAGACGAGTACATGTCTCTGTTTTTTGTAGTTATGAAAGGTGAATACGACGCCTTATTACCTTGGCCATTTCACCATAAGGTGACCTTCAGGCTGTTGGATCAGGGGGGTTCAGCGGATGTTACAGATTCATTCCGTCCTGATCCTAATAGTTCCAGTTTCAAGAAACCTACATCAGATATGAACATTGCGTCAGGCTGCCCGACCTTTGTATCACATCGCACCTTACGGACCCGGGGATATGCTCGGGATGATACGTTATTTATTAAGGTAACAGTAGACACGGGAGGTCAAGTTTACTGAAGACTATGTCGTCTTTAAATAGATGTTCATATCATCGTGATCGACGCGTGATACGAAAGGGCTATCGGTAATTAAATGGCTACAATTTCCAGTGAACCTCTGAAAAGCGAAATAATGGAATGACATCTGGAAAACGTGTTTCTAGAGAACATTATAATAACTCGACATGTAATAAATACTGTACATTGTAGTCGCACTTTCGTCGCACTGTGGCGAAGACGTTTTAAAGACAGGAGGAAAAATGAAACGTACATGTTTCTCATGAATAATCGATGATTGATCAAAGAATAAGATTTCTCTCTCTTCCTCCCTCGAGAATGTACCCTGGTTGCGGCTGGTTACGTCATCATGCAGAATCTCCCAGAATTTGGCAAATTTCTGAAAGGAAACTAGTCGAGGGGGTCACTGGTAAAGTTTTGTCACCACTAGCTTAACATGAAAGGCGAGAATTTCTTGATAATGAATAATTTTTGCATCGGATCGACCTATTTTATCATGCACGTAGTAGCATTTATGTGATTTCAGTTTTCATCACTTACACGTTGTGAATCTTGAGAGTCAGTTTTGTAGAAATAGAAGTACACGAAATCGTCGTTTATCGTTACGTTATCTCATAAATTTGAGTTCTCATTTTTTTATGCGAGTTTCGATGCATATAAATAGTATTTGTTCGCTATTTTCTCGATCTTATTTGGAATTTATTCGCACCCTTAATTTTAGTTCGCATTGTTTTCCTTTATTTACTTTCCACTGAATCATTAGGCATAAGTCGTGGGACCATGTTTGAAGTCGCTTGTGTACTTTCTTTGTTCGAGCGATTCGGCCTCTTCCTCCCCAAACAGAGCTGATTGGACCCGTCTCTAAGGCTTGAAGTCTGGTCGTATATAAAGGCATTTGACGGGAAGGAACAACTGTCACCAACGACTTTCAAAGATGTGTTTGAACACATGGAGCCCGAGCTATCTATGAGAGGTTACTTAGTACTATATAGCTTTGTGTATCCGCTCTGTGACTTTGTAAATAATAACGCAAATAAAATTTAACCTGCACATAGTGTTGTGTCATTGTTTGTTCTCTAGTAGCAATTTCGGGCGATTTCGGTAAGTTTTAGCTGAGCTCTCATCATACTACTGCCCCACTAAGAAGAAGGAAACGGAAGAAGGCTTCGTCAGACCAATGGACTGACCGCTCTTGAAAATCGCTCGATTCTTAGACGAAACCACGTCTCCGTCCCTCGAGACTCGGCATTGCGAAAGCCAGATGGTTGTCATTCAAGCTTATCGAAAAATATTTTATAAAAGTTCCGCCGTCGAGGAGTCAATTCAGCGAGAGTTTCAAATGAAAAGCCACTTTGAAGTCCTGTCAAACCCGCTGTAAGAACTTCCTGTGCAATTCGGAGACCGTTACGACACGGCCGGCCTCGACACGAGTCAAGTTTCGCTCAAAGAGCACCCCCAGGGTTTGATTTACCAGGCAAATACTCAGCCACCCGTCAGATGTCACCTTTGGGGTGCCCTTCGGTAAGGATATCACTCTGACGAAGGGCTACCGCTCGAAACGTCAGCTTTTTTACTCTTTACGGTGGCTAATTTACGTTTTCAACCCAGTTGTTAACACTAAATTACCTGCTATACTCTCTCACCTATGCAGCACCACAGTTACTTTAGAATTTACCCCTTTATTCTTCGGTAAGACCGCTGACCACATACTGTAGGGTCGCGCCCCAAACCGGAGGGCACCTAGGGGTCAGCATTAGATTCCATCCACCAAAACCACCTTGGTCGAGAGGGACTGAGATGGAATGATGGACAACTCATGACTTGTTATACTAATAGAAAATTACGAAGCTACGATAACATGCCGACTTATCCCGATGACCTAAGTGTATTATTTGTTTGGGAAATTGCGTCAAAACTTTTTACTCAAGAAATGGTAAGTATTAATTTATTGTTCGATTGTAGTATTATAAAACATTTTACGCAATTTTATGCAGATATTTCACGTATTTAAAAGGTGCCCAGATGTTACGTAGTTTTGGTGGATGTCCGTAGGGAAAATCCACCAAAACTTTGACCAAAACCATCAACAATAATTTTTTTTTTAATTTTAGCTATAGCCACTGTTAGATGTTCAGGGAGACAAAAGATTTATACCAATAATTAGCAGTTAGTGCTCTGGCTAATTATTTTTTATGGTGCACAATTGCTGACCGACCAAACGTTCTTAATGATTATCATAACTCATAACACATAGAATAAAGTGGTTTTGGTGGATGTTTCTCTCCATCCACCAAAACCACCATAGCAATTTCTGCTACTTCCTTACAAAAGACTGATGTGACCTGCTATTTGGAGTACATAACCACAATCTATTTCTTTGTATGTAGAGATATTTTGCAAAGTTCTTGAGTCAGCACCTTTTATTACTGAAACCATAATCATAACATGGTGCACAATATAGAATGCAAAAGGTTCTGGTGTGGCAGTCATGTAATCTTGAAACAGGAGAGTTTTTAACTGACTTAAACTGACTTTCTGCTAAAATCATAACCTTTAAGTACAACAAATCAGCACATCAAAAATTGTTATCAGAGGTCTGAAAATCCTATAAATCTTTCACATTTGTTTCAAGTAACCTTTAATTTCACATGGATGAATAAGTATACACTCAAGATGCAGAATGTCTTACATTTTACAAATTATTTCCCTTTTTATGGATAGACAGTTAAAGGCCTTTGCCACATTGGTGAATCAAACCATTGTATACCATACATTTTGTGATAATTGTTTGTTTTTGCTCACAATATCCAGAAAAATGGAGGGGATAAATTTAAATAGCAAATTCTATTAATGGTTAAAATTAAATAACATTGGAAGATCAAATTAACTTTGTACTGTTTAAAATTCAGTTTTGGTTTCTTGCTTATTCCAGCCTCTTAATATTCGAAAGCATTCCTTGTCATTTTTGTGTTCTTTTGTGTAACATAACTTGAAAAACAAACACAGAGAAAGGACACCACAAAGGATTAAACTTGAAGCTAAAGCAAACTTTAAGTTGAGCCATAGCTGATCCAAATACTGAGCACTTTATATTGTAACCCATTTAGCAGTAAAGTTTATCTAGTATATGTCTGCCAGCTTGTCACAAGTCTTACCCCTCTCCTTCAAAAGTCTCTATAAATAAATTTTTCTTTGTGGTCCCTAATTGATGATAAGTATATTACAGCTCCTCAATTTCCCTCTCTCAAGACAAGGTTACTCTAAATTTAACAAAGTAACGGACTTGATAAAACTCAAACTATAACTCAGTTGGCTGCTACTTGCAACCTTAATTTCTTGATATCAGTATACAATAATCAATATGTTATAAATAAGAACCCTAATGCTTAATTTTGCAGTGATCACCTTCCTCCTTTTCATTTGCAGACCAGACTGGAACCTCTATAAGTGTGTTTGCTTGTTTTGAGTGGGGATGGAAGAAAAGGAGTCATGCCGCATATCTGATTTATTAAACCAGATTTGTTCTGTTTATACATGAGTAGAACTACCTTGTTCTCTGAAAAAAATAAAATTTCTCGCATTTTTATCTGTGTTTTGCAGTCAAACTTCCTGTGTCTTGGACAAGAAATCTTATTTTCTTGAAAACAAAATCTTTGTTTCCAGCCTTCTGTAATAGGTAAATATAACAGTGTAAGATGAGTGACAGTGTATTTCTCAAGTTATTTTTTGGAATGTGACAAAACGGAAGTGTCATAGTGTGATAAGGAGCCAATATATGATTGCTTGATAGAAAGCAAAAAATGCAGAATTGCATATATTTTCTCCTTTGTCAGCAGCATATGTTAGTGAAAAGTTCTTATAATTGTTAACTTCTAACCATCTACAATTTAGCCAAGATTGAACTGTTATCACGTTTGTCATAAAAGTATTCTGAGATCAATGTCATATGACCTATTCATGTATTTGACCTTTCGAATTAGCAAGCCATAGTTGACAGTAACACAAAGGTTGAGGATAAAAAGAAATTATTATATACAATGTTTCTTCTGCATATTTTCGTTTCCTTTTCTCTCCAGCTGTTCTATCTATGCCGTGCTGGCAATTGAACACTTTCCTTCCCAAAATTAGGAAAGGCACACCAGTAAAAAACGAATTTTTGCTCCTTAAATATCTCATGCATCTTCCCCGAGTATTTTGTGACTTCTGTCCGAGGAAGGAGGTGTAAGCATTAAGTCAACCCGAATGATTCCACAATTGTGGTATCATCCAAGCCATGCCAGAGGACTTGAACTAGATAAACTAGTGAGAATGCACAATAGCGATAGCAAAGCTTTGTAATGCCAAAGAGCTATATCAATATGTATATATATACACCGGTGTTCCCGAAACCTTTGACAGCTTTAGAGAAAGAAAACTTCGTCGTCAATCCTGTTTCAAATTCCGCAATAAGTTTATGCGCCTCATCAACAGAATTGACGTATCCTAAATTATCTGCATGTCTACCATCAAGCAATGATTCGCGACTTAAAATTCACGCTATGCTGTTCCTCAAGAATCATGGGATTTACAGCTTCGGATGTTCGGCTACATCACTTGCAGATTTCCGAGAATCTTCGGTTATGTTTTGCAAGTCATTAAATATTCCATCTCAGTCCCTCTCGACCGAGGTGGTTTTGGTGGATGGAATCTAATGCTTACCGCACCTAGGAGAGCACGTGAGCATGTTCGTTTGACACAAGATGACACAAATCGTAAAACCGCTTAGGTAGGTACAGGTTGACCTTGTCGTGGCTATGGTTTCACAATCTATTAGTAGTTTTCAACTTTAAGACGTTACGGTAAGATGGATTTTGTAAGGGAAATTCCGTTACTCAATTCATAGCTCTTTCTGCACGATCATGCGGCGGGAAAACTTGGGTGTGAAAGAATATTGCTTTGGACTCAAACATGATTCTCGGTAGCTTTCGAAATCTACTTTGTAGTTATTTGGAATATCTTTGTAACGATTAATTCTAATTTTTCTCAACTTGTATATCCTAAATGTAGGTTTAATTCCATGAAGTTATAGAAGAGATTCTATCGAATGCGCGTAGAGGGAACCTGATCACACCAGAAGTACGTCACCGTATTTCAGGATCAGTGCGTCTCAAAGGTTTGCGAACCATTTTCATTATGTCAGTGGTATTTAAGTTTCAAAGTCTACAGTTATTCTACTGCATTATTCAGACTAAGCTTCCTGTCCTTTAAGATGTTTTGATAATCTTTCTGATCTCGGCGTATATGTTTAATTTAAGGTTGACAGTTGCATGATTGCCACAAACCAACCCTGAAGCCCCAATCTATTCTCAAATGTTATAAGGTTACATTATTGTTGCTCGTTTTCTTTTGCAAACTTGGAGGCATCTTAAGGAGCTTTCTTTGGTTGTGGTTTTTGTTGAGTTCTTTTGTTCCCATGTGTCGTGTCTTTGAAATGAGAACAGGTTCTCAGCATCTGTGCGGTGTCTCTTCTGTCATTGTGTACTTCTCCCAGCTGTCAAATGGCATTGCCTGCAGGTTTCCATACTGCTTCTGCTTGACCTGCTTCTACTGGACCTGCTTCAGTTTCCTGTTTGAGATAACTCTTATGAGGATGGTTGTAAGTCTTGCCTCTCTATCCAGGAGCTTGATTAAGCAGTTTAGAGATAATCTACACTGTCCACTTGCACAGCAATTCCAAGCATTGTGGCACCCCACAATGTTGTTGTTGGTTCTGATGGCCTGCTTGTAGATGCCCCAGTTTTTTGGTGGGAAAACCATAATTTTGATCCATTGTTGTTTGTTGTAGTTGACAAGTTGTGGTTGATCTGGTGGGTTTACAGTCATTTCGTTTCATAGTCGGATCATTAATAACATTAATAATCAACTTTGTTTTTCGAGGGTGGCACTTGACAGTATGAAATACTCATAAACTTGTGGCTCTCAAAAACAATTTAAAAATAAACACAAATACATGTAAATAATGAAGTAATCAAGACTAGGTGATGAAACAATTAAAATATGAATGTTCTAGGGATTAATATAAAATATATTAGAATAAAATAGAATAGCCTAAGCCATAGTAAAGTGATGAACATCTTTATAGGACTCAAAAAAATACTTATATAAGATTTCTTTAAAATGTCTAAATTAGAGCTACTCTTAATTTCATTGGGAAGTGAATTCCAAAACCTAGTGGCTGATACTTGAAAGGTCCTAAGCACCTTCTGATTGTCCTTTATACTTTGGACAGATTAAATGCGAAGACCCATATCTACTTTGTCTTTCAGTAGAATGTATGTTGATGTTTCGTTTGAGTAATTCTAACATATAACTGGGACACACCCTATTCAAATGCTTATGAACTAATGCCCATTGATTAATCTTAGCTTCATGAATAAAAGGTAGCCAATTGAGTTCTCTAAACAGATCTACACTATTTGCTCTAGTATCAGCATTGAGAATAACGCGTGCAGCACACTTCTGTAGCCTGAAGATCTTATTTAAATTATCAACAGGTGTAGCAACCCACACACTAGAGCCTTACATCATTATTTGTTTTATCATGGTATTGTAATAATGAATTAGTTGATCTAAGGGTAAATTACACCTGATTTTTTTCAAAACAGCAATGCACTGTGTTAGCCCCCTTCATAGATTATCAATATGGTCATTAAAATTAAGCTGAGTGTCAATAATTACATCCAACAGTTTATGAGACTGGACTTGTTTGAGTTCAACTGAGTTGACATGGCCAGTGAGTGAGGTGCTGCTCATCTTCTTCTGTAGACGTTTGCCAGCTACTAACATACTTTTAGTTTTGGACTCATTAAGTACCATTTTATTTTCTGTGGTCCATTGTGCCACTTTACCAACATCAGCTTGAAGAACTTTAATCAACATTAACATTAGCACTGATAGTAGTATCATCTGCATATATGTCTGCTGCTGAATGTTCCAGTGTCTCTGGTAGATCATTTATAAATATAAGAAACAAGACTGGTCCTAGGATACTCCCTTGAGGCACTCCAAGGTTTGCACCTCTGAGAGTTGAATGACACCCATGTTAACATATTGTGTACGATCACTGAGATAACTTTCAAAGAGTGAAACATAATCATTATTGATGCTTGTAGCCCAGAGCTTTTGTATAAGAAGTGTATGATCGATAAGGTTGAGAGAATTTTTGTAGTCAATCATTACCAGGCCAGTAACATTGTCCTTGTCCAGATTGAGTAAAAGCTCATCAATAAGTCATATCAAAGCTGTCTAAGTGGAGAACAACTTTCTAAACCCAGATTGGAGTTTGTACAATATCCTGTTTGATGTCAAGAAGTCACACAGATGATTGCAAATGTGTCTTTTAAGTAGCATAAACAGGACTGGCAGGACTGAGATTGGCCTGTAGTTGTTACGGTCTGATCTGCTTCCATTTCCTTTATACACAGGCGTTACTTTAGCTACTTTCCAAGCAGATGGAAAGACCATATTTGATATACACAGATTTAACAGTCTAGTCAGCAGTGATCCATCTAGAAAAAGGCAGTGGTGAGTCCAGGGACTCACACAGCCAAAATCCAGTGAGTCCCACACGCAGGAGTGTGAGTCCCACACTCATCGTTATATGAGTTGTACCTATGAATAACACATACAATTAAAAGAGGTTTGTATTTTACTAGTTACTTTCAGGAGATTTTTCCAACTTTTCTTTCAGTTCATCATCAATTACATCTGAAAGGCACTGTAAGATATCATCTGAAGTTGTGTAAGAATCATAACTGATGTTGGTTTGTTTCAAAATCGCTATGTCCTCAAGCCCCAAATCGTGAAGAAGTTCAAGTAGCAATTTGAATTTTACCAGTGGGATGCTCTCTTTATACAGCCACTGTACACATTTAAGAAGCACCAGGACGGCTTTATTCTGCTTTGTTTTGCCTTTTCTTGGGCTTCCTCCAATGACTTTCTTTTCTCAGGGCCTTGGAGAGCCATCTTGTGTTCAAGGAGACCAACATGCCAATTTAGCGTGGTGTTTTGAGAATTTCGACATTGGGCTTCCTTTCTCATTCTGTTAGATTTGCTAGCCTCTGAGCAGACTTTACAGTACATATAATCTCCATTTTATTCGTAGACCAACCACGATTATGTTTTGAGCCTTGGCTCAAAAAATCTTTGTTCCTTACATTTTGCAGATTTCGCTTGTGCTGATTCTTCATTGTCTTCATTTGCCTTTGCCTCATCCTTTTCTATTGCAGTTGCTGCTTCTTGTTCTTGATATTTACTCACTTCAGGCCGTTTTCCAAATGAGAGCTTTTTTTGCCCCCCCAGAGGCTTAAGTTTTTTCTTCAGTGGCATTTAATTTTCAAGAATAACTATGTCCACCTTATGAAAGCAAGCAGGAAGAGACAGAAAGCACGTGTATGGAATTGATAAACAGACACTTCTGTAAAATACCGCTGATCATGAAAATTGAGCCTGTAGTGACTAGAATGTAATGGTGTTTGCTTTAGAATCACACGCTGCTTACTTTGATACGTATTTTGAAATTTTTCATAAATAGAGAAGAAAAGTCATTAAGTCAAGATTGTAATTGAGAGAAGGTACTTTTTTTGCATCCAATGGGATGCATCTGGTACTAAATTTGTGCATCTTTTAGGAAAATTATGAGTCTGAGATGCGGGACATGCAGGTAGATGGATCACTGAGTCAGAGATAGTAGTACGGCAGGAGCAGCAATCTTAAAAATCTTGGTGCTGATGTCACCATCACCTGTTGCTTTGTGACTTGGAATGAACAAAGCAGTTCAGAGACTCGTTTTATAGTTGTACTCAGGATCACAAATGCATGTTCAACTTGATTAATGGCACTTGGGCTCTGAGCCATATGTGTGCTTTGGGTAGAAATCAAATTCTTTGGATAATCAATAAAGAAGGTATATCATAGTTCAGCTGTACTGGTTTTGTCCGTGATGACATTGCCGCTATCAATCAACTTTTCAATACTAGATTGAGATTCATCATCGTCACATGACAAACTCTTTATGAGATTCCATAGTTTCCTGGTGTTGATTTTGTTTTCACTTATTTTATTCTTATAATAAGCCTGCTTTCTCCTCCTGATCAAACTGGAGACACTGTTTTTTTCTTGTTTGTACAGGTTCCAGTCTCTTTCCAAATTACTTTTTCTTGCTTTCTTTAGTGAATTATCTCTTTTTCTAATTTCTTTCAAAATATTGACATTGAACCACTTGGGTTGATTTCTGCATTTTACTCTATTTTGTTTGAGTGGGAGATGTTCATTAACTACTGCTTTAAAAATCTTGTACCAAGTGTCAACAATGTCAAGGTATACAAACTTATAAAGGTGACCGTGTATGAATTAGAAGTGACAGTAACATTTGAAAATGTAATCAAAGGTAACTACTCTATTGAATATCCTGGTCCTTTTCTCAATAATAACTAGTTTTTGATTGGAAATCAAAGTCATGATGTTGGTAATTTCATCACTCTACTGACCAGACTTTATATAGTGTCATCATATTGGATTACAATTTCTCTGTTTGGTATGAAAATCAAATTATTTTTTGTCATGAACATGCATCAAATTTGTACATATTTATCTATTGTAGAAGAATTTGAACTGTATTTTATTCCAAGGATTGTTGGGTTTAATTCCTAAAGGTTACAGCACTCCAAGGGGTCAAAACTTCTCCTGGATTGCACAAGATTCCATAGATTCACTAAAGGTACACAGATCAAGATGGCTACAAGAATACAACACATTTTTTTTCCAGGCTCTCTCCCAGAAGGCCTAGTGAGCTCCTAAACTCTTATGTCATCATGCACATCTATTGTACCAATTTAAACTAATAGTGCAAAAATTTTCAGAAAAATTAATATGATGTAAACAATCATTTTAGGGGAATAGCAGTAACATTGCAAAATGTAAACAAGTTAATATCTAACTTAAATGTTCTGCTCCTTTTTTTTTTTGACAAGAATCAAAATTCATGATGTTGGTAATTTCATTACTTTACTGACAATATTTTATACTCAATGTCATCATATTAGATAACATCTTTCTGTTTGCTTTGAAAATCAGGAGCTTGATATTACTGGGTATTGTTGCCACTTATAATTTCAAAAGTTGGATCCAGTGCAGGAAGAATGCATTGAAGCTGTTAGTGTGGCAAAGTGAAAAAAAGCTTTTTGTTTCAGTTGCGACCAATATGCAGAGACTTCACACTATAAGGTAGTTTGTAACACCACAGGACTCACAGTCTCCCGTTATGTTAGAAGCCCATGGAACCTATGGAGGTCAGATGCTTTTTTTTGCTCTCCATAATGTTTGTGTGCTTTTTGACTTCAGGGAGTTCATTTACTTATAAATGTAAGTGGAGGAGTCCTGCTAACATCCGGCCCAAACATTTCTGGCATCTGTATCTGAAGGAAAGTCATTCTCTGGCTCTTGAGATGACTTTTTTCTCCTCATCATGTCTGTGCTTCAATGAAACTTCTGAAATTAGCATACTGTGGAGATGTGGTCCACTGATTCACCATGGGGAATTTGGAAACGCATTGTTGTCTTTGTTAGTGAAATACCAGCGTATTGTCCATCCAGTTCTGGTAAACAGAAGATCTAAAAGACCTTGTTTGTATTATTCTAATGCATATGCAACATTCCACCCGTTTATTGGAGACAACAACAACAACAACAACTTTTATTTCAACACGATGGTGATTAAAGCGTTGCCGCTTATGGGGTCGTGCATTTAAACTAAAACCTAAGGAATAAAAATATATTAAAATCGTCTCAATAATATAGAAAATCGTTATCATTATTGTGAGGCATTGTTTGCGGAGATTCCGCCTGAAAGTCTAAGTTACGTAATTTGTTTGATTTGGAGGCCATTCTTGTATAGTTCTTGACATTGGATGTGTTTGCGAGATCCGAGGTAAGGAGATTCCACACAATAGAAGCCCTAAATGCTATTGAATTTCAAGCAATTGATCACTGTTAGAGTTGGTTTGTGATGATTCGTTGTAAGGTGGATCCGTTCTCACTGTAGAGTTAAAAGATTCTTCTGAGAGAGAAGCAAAAGGAAGCTCGTTGAAATCGAGCGAAATGTCTTGCAAACAGACAGGGCATTTCCAGATCATTGCTGCAGTCCTCTGAATTAGTTTGAAGTCCTTGGGCGTAACATTACCGCACTTGATGTGGTACTTGAGATCACAAGTGTTGCACGTGAGCGTTCTGTGGTTTTGAGCGATGGTTCTTGAGCACTTGGGACAGCTTTGTTTGTTCGAAGTTGGTCCGGGATTTTCAGCGATATCTCCACTAATAATTAAGCGAGATATTTGAAATGTTGAAGCCGAGTTGGGATATCGGCTCACTGTGGCTCTTAGATAGCCTTTTACCCGGTAAACTTTAGAATCATGGCGGCAGTTGTCCCACGCTGGGTCGAGAATGAAATATGCCGTTAGCGCTTCCACAGGTAGACCATGCATGCCGAACTTCAGATTAGGCATTGTAGTGGAGCAAAACCCGTCCTCGAAACTTAATCTTCCAGCGCTGAGAATGATACCCAGGAGCAAAAGAGCAATAACGTGAGAGCTCCGGAAAACGTGGCTGTCCGCCATATTGGCTTCGTTTAAATACGATTTTCTTCTAAGCCCTGACAAATTGTCGATCAACTGTGCTGGTTTGGTTGCATGTAATGAAACAGTCTGGCGAGAATGGCCTGCACATAAATTTTGTAGAAAACATGATGACATATTTGCCGCACAGGAAATTTCTCGTCGTACGCAGTATAACCTCTGCATCATGCACTATGCTTGAGGTTCCGTCAATTTCAAGTCTTTTGAGTCGATTTTCTTTGCAACCACAGCTCTCAGTTAGTCATCAGCCTCGATTGCATCAAATGAGTAACGAGATGGCGTGATACTTCAGGGTCACAGTTCTGATTCTATTTTAAGCACCTTTTAAAATTTTCCGTCGATCGCGCTCCGTCAATTCCCCCGTAACGGATCTCAGATATTGCAATATCTGGGCATCCGTATTTTTCAAGTGCTTCACGTCCACAAACCGCGCTCGTACTGACACTCACTGCCAACTAAAAGAATCTTTCAAAGACATTCTTTTCAAGTTGAATCCTGGTCCTGACACTAATCAAGTTAATCATTGTTATTCTAATCTGACCTTTTGTTTGTTGAATGCTCGTTCTCTGAGAAATATATCTGCATCCTTTTGTGATTATGTTCAAGATTGCAAAGCTGATATTTTTGCTATTACTGAAACATGGTTAACCCAGAATGATGCTGCAGTCTGCAAAGAGATCACTCCTAATAGGTACAGATTGTTTCATTGTCCTCATACTGATCCTAGAGGGGGTGGTACTGCACTTTTATGTAGAGAGAGTCTCAACATACGTCGACTTTCCACTGGTGAAAAGACATCTTTTGAGTTTTCTGAATATATGATTGATGGTTTATCTTTACAGCTTAGACTTGTGATTGTGTACAGACCACTGTATTCTGCTGCTCACCCCGTTACTTCGAGTACTTTTTTTCCTGAATTTAGTGAATACCTGGAATCATTGGTACCATCTAAAGTGCCAATTTGCATATCTGGTGACTTCAATGTTCACCTTGATGTTAGTGATGTTGCGGATACCGTTGCGTTTGTAGATCTATTGGAATCGTTGTCTTATTCAACATGTAAAATCACCTACACATGTAATGGGGCATATTTTGGATCTGATAATTACTCACAGCTCTGACAATATCATTAAAGGTACACCTTCCCCAGATAGCTTTCTTTCCGATCACTGCTCTGTTTTGTGCTGTCTTAATGTTACAAAAGTACTGGCTACTGTTAAACACATCAGTTTCAGGAAGCTCAAGTCCCTGGATTTAGTTGCTTTTAAAAATGATATTGCTAGTAGTGATTTGTGCAACATCGCTTCAAATGATTGTAATGAAGTTGCAGAGCTGTATAACAACTGTATGCACTCCATTTTGGATCGTCGTGCACCAATGACATAAAAAAGACTGTTCACTCGTCCAAGCACCCCTTGGATGAGTAGTAATGTCATAGAAGCTAAGGGTCAACGTCGAAAAGCAGAGATAAAATGGAGATCTTCCAAATGCCGGTCTGATCTAGCTGTTTTTAAGAGAAGAAGGAACCATATGACTTTTCTTATGAATGAGGCTAGGGGGGTCTATTATAGTACTCTCATAGCAGGAAATAGTTAAAATAAAAAACATCTGTTTAAAGTAAGCAAGAAACTCTTGAACATCACAGGTACTCCATTTTTGCCACCACATGAAGACAAACAGAAATTAGCTTATGAGATGGGTATGTTTTTCATTAAGAAAATTGCCAATATTTGTCTAGACCTTGATAATCATGATAAACAACAAGCTTCCATAGGCCGCGATTCTAATGACATCGAAATTGATTCTCTACTCTTCAAGTTTAGTTCTCTGTCTCAAGAAGTTTGTTTGTTTTGTTAGACTTGAGTGCGGCATTTGACACCATTAACCATTGTATTTTACTGGAGAGACTTTAATCTGGGTTTGGGATTCCTGGTACAGCACTGTCATGGTTTGCATCTTATCTAAGTAACAGATCCCAGCAAATACTTATTAATGGTTCCCTCTCTATGAACTTTGAACTGTCTTGTGGTGTCTCTCAGGGCTCATGCCTCGGTCCATTATTTTTTGTATTGTATGCAAGCAAGATTTTTAAAATCGTGGACAAACATCTGCCAGGCATTCATTGTTATGCAAATGACAGCCAACTTTATTTGTCCTTCTGCCCCAATGCCAGTGTTAACCAAGATGTTGCTTTGGCTAGAATGGAAAGCTGAATTGATGATATTTGTAATTGGATGTTGAATGATAAATTGAAACTGAATGACGACAAGACTGAGTTTCCAATCATTGGTACATCCCAGCAACTCGCTAAAGTAACTAATTCCAGTCTCTGTGTTGGCAACTCAGCAATTACTCCCACATCATCTGCGAGGACCTTGGGCTCATGGTTCGATGCAAAACTCACAATGGCAACTCATATTACAAGAACATGCAACTGTGCCTCTTACTACTTGTACAATCTGAGGAGGATAAGAAAATACCTGTCTAAAGAGAACACAAAAACTCTGGTCCATGCCTTTATCTCAAGCAGAATTGACTATTGCAATAGTTTATTGTATGGTGCCCCAGAATATCAAATCAACAAATTGCAATGTGTTCAACACGTGTGCTAGACTAATATGCAATGAAAGTAAATATTGTCACATTACTCCTTTATTGATGGAGTTGCACTGGTTACCTATTAATTTAAGAATTGAATCTAAGATTGTATTAATTGTTTTCAAGATTTTTAAGGGTTTTGCACTGTCTTACCTGAGTTCTCTAATTACACGCAAGCCCGAGTCAAGATTTAAGGAATTCCAGGGATAAGACCTTACTCAATTATCCTAGTTTTAAGTTTAAGGCAACACTTGGTGACGAGGCATTTATGTTTGTGGCACCTAGACTATGAAATAATTTACCAAGGGATATACGACAATCTAGTTCTATTAATAATTTTAGATCGAAGCTTAAGACGTTTCTTTTCAAGAAAGCATTTTATACTTGATAAAGTTTTTGTAGTTATTTATTCATTGATAACGTTTAAATAGAACATTTCAAGTAATAATAAGTTGTTAGTTATGTGTTATATATCTTATTTATTATGAATCGTTTTTAATTGTTATTTTGTATTCAAATTATTATTATTTTTATTTTGTCTTTAGTTTATTGTAATTTTTTGAATATATACATAGAATTTGCGTCTTAGAAGTCAATAAATTATTCTATTATTATCTGTACTAGGGATAACTTTTTTAAAGCATGAAACGCATGAAATTTTGTTGGTGGCTTGCTGTATGCCCTTGACTTTACATTGAACTGTTAATATCGTTGAAGCCATGATAACATCTAAGTCAGTCAGTGTTCTTTCAAATGCAGTTCATGGTTCTGTGCTAATGATAACTGTCTTTAGAGTGTTGAAGAAGACACTCGTTTTTAAGGGAGAGATATTATGAATAAAACATCTCAAAGTGGACTCTTTTAGAGGTGGATTGACCTGCATACAAGTGAAATTGATCCTTAATGAAATATAATGGCTATAAATTTTCACTGTTGTGTTCATTGTAGTTGAAGAACAACATTTGAGAAAAGACAAAAAAAATTCAAAACAGAAATATTGCAACATTGCATACCTGTATTTTTTTTCCTATGTTTTTTTTTTTGTTCATATTTGCATATTAGGTATAAAATGCTGAGTAAGGACATGCCCATACAATAAGAAGTAAAGGTTGTGCAAAGCCTTAAATGGGTGAAATGTGAGAGCACAAATAAGAACAACTTACAGTGATGTTGAAGAAGTTTATAACTGATTATAAAGGTTCTATCCATTCATTTAAGTAAATATAAATATTCTTGTTGACATTTGCATTGTGCAGCTCAACATGAGATGTCATGTTATACTAATGTTGTAAGTTATTTTTTGTCTAAGCTTGTATGTTTGAAACATATGTATTTGTGGAAATACAGTGCTAACAGCATATCCTGTTCAGAGGCTAATGTGTTTTTAAATGCACTGCAAGTTGACTGTGCTAAGTTATCTAATCCAGCTTCTTCATTAAGTCTTAGCTGTAATTTCGAATGTAAGGAGAACATTGAGCATCTAAATGTGCAGAAAAACTTGCAAAAGGATATTGTCTTCGTCTAGAAACATAACTGAACTGCCTGTGACCTTAATGAATATTTGCACAGTTTAAAGGGTTGCATTTTACATGATAGCATAGGAAATCCAACTTACCTATCTATTATGACTATGCACAGCTTGACGCAGCATAAGCTGATGTGAAAGTTCTATCCTATCTTAAATAGTTATGAATCATACCTTGGAAAAAATCAATCAACACATCAATCATCCACTACCTATCTATATGGTGTGTGTGTGCATTGGAAAGAGGAAGCTTAGAAGCTGTTCTTGAAAGACCTATAACTGGGGATAATGATAAAAAAGAAATTCAGAAATAATTTCCAGATTTCTTAATCAAATCTAAACCAGTATTGAACACTGTAAGATCTTCCAAGAGCTCATGAAGTCAAAATGAGATTCACAAGGTGAACTTAAGCATGTTTTTATTTGCAATGATTCAATTTAACAATAACCATAGACTTTAAGGGAAATTGATATGAGCAATTTTTAAGAAAATTTGGCATTTGGAAGATTGTCATTTCAAGGGTTGGAGGAGCTATTGATAAATGGAATATGTTCTGAATGTTAAATGTTAACTTCGATGAATGCTAGTGCAGTGTTCTTATTTTAGAAGGCCAGATATTTGATCAGGGCGAGGGGTACTGGACACGTGTAACTTTTTCCTCTCATCAGAAATTTCTCCAGATTGTGGTTTGTTTACTCTTGTGGTGGACTGTTGTTGACATGACTGTGGCAAGCAAAACACTGTAAACAGATTTGCAGTGGAATGGAGATTTCCTGCTAGTAAAAAGGTCTCTTATTGAGGAAAGTTTAATGCCATTCAGCAGCAAGAAATATAGGCTTATGCCTACAAGCAAAACAGCTCTTATAGTGTTGTATCATTCTTTACCTTCCTGTTAGAGGTGGCAGAGTCTTTTCCAAATTCATCTAACATTTCATAACAATAGTGGAAATGCCATCTAGTTACTCTGAGGGAATCCAGGTGACGAAGAGATGCTTGGCATTAATCAGCCTTTGATTAGACTTCGTAGACACTTGAGGCAAAGAAATGTGGCCTATGATTATGAGTACAATAGCTTGGGGGCCTTGTCAAATTTCAAAATCTGGACAATACTCTTCTTTTTATAACTTGGTTTGAAAGTAACATGAATATGTAAGCATCTTGGTCAGTGTACACCCGTTTGTGTGCATAAAAGAGTTATGTAGCTATAAAAAAAACCAAATATTTATAGATCAAGATCTAGGACACAATATTCACCCATATTATAATAATACAATGTAGAAAAATTTCTTAGTGAGAAAGATTAATGAAAAAGTAAACCAGATTTTTGTTGAATCAACTGCTAATTGGGTATCAATTTTGGTGATGGTGGATGGTAACATTAACTTTTACAAGTGTCAATGATGGATGAAGGCTATTATGATCTCTCATGAATTGATTGTAGATTAAAAGATTACTTAAAAAAATTATATGCAAACTGATTGATACTCAAGTTATCCCTGAATGATACAAAATGACAGTAGTTATCAACTGCACTGCTATTATACATAGCAACGTGGTCTTGAGCAAGTGTGCTTCAGACACGCACAGAGATGGCTGTAACAGTTTATTGTTTCTCCTGCCTCTTTTAAAGTTACTTGTCCATGATACAGCTCTAAATAAGAATATGTTAGGCTCAAGTTCTCTAGTGATCATCCTTAACAATCCAGCAGGTAAGATCTCAGACACCTTATATTGTGCAAAGAACACACAGCAATACACTTTTAAGTGACTTATTAATCGCCTCATAGTGAACTTGTCACTGATGCTGTTGGTGGAGTTGTGTTAGCTTGGTTGATGGGCCTCTGGCTCATTACAGTTCTTTTTATGGGCCTGGCAAAGTTATATAATTTCATTCCCTTCAATCTCAATGGAATTGAAATATATCGAAATAAGTAATTAATAAATGATAATCTGTTACACCATTTCATGCTTAAATTGTGTCAGCATTTCTTAAACTTGAGAAACACATAAAGAACCTTTGTCGTCTTTACTTTTTTTGATATTGGCCACCACAGCTTTGTTTCTTTTAAGAGATGGCTGCCTCAGACAGACCTCTTACATCTCCATTGTAGTCTCTGGCTCAACATCCTAAGGTATCATACCAACATATCAAAAACCAAACTAACACTATTCCTTACTACCTTTATTCTTATTGTTTGTGTGGTATAATGAGGAGGTGCCAACAGTGAAGAAAAAAATCAAAGTTGGAAGCTATGATGCTGGGACAATCTTTTGAGATGATAAACAAAACCATTGGTTAAAACAGAATGTAAACTGTTCAAACAAAGCAGCCAATTTCTTTTCCACCTGGCCAAGGTCTTGACAGGATGCCCACTGTGTTTAAGAGAGTTTCTTTAAGCCTATTTTCTACTTTTTGCAAGTGAGGCCTAACCTCATCATTCCTGTGGCTTAATCAGCATTCTCATGAAATTTGAAAGCAAAATCAAGTTATACATGGTAAACAAATTTTAGAGGCAATTGAAGCAGAATAAAGAAGTCTGAATTAAAGCTGAAGAATTGTTTTAATTAAAGAGTTGAGCTAAATAGAGACTAAATTGTATCAATACCACTTAAGGGAAGGAGAACCTGTAAAGTTGATCTGCGTGGCCTACACCTCCAATGTGTGGGTTGTAAACATCCATTCAAGGTTTCTTGATGTTGACATTTGGTAGTTCCTTTGACACTGAAAAAACACGGGTAGGCTCACTAGCCAATGCATTTGTTGATAAGAAAGATACATCTCTCTTGGTTATACCATTTGGTCAACCCCTCTATGCCCTACTGAGTGCTGACTTTTTCACCTCAGCAAATAATATAATAATGATAATCTATTATGGAAACCAACATCACAATCACATGGTTTACAAAAGGATCTGCACTTCATAGATGACTGAGCTAAGACTTAAAACTAGCTGAGAAATACAAAGATGTTAAAAATTTAAAACTAATTGCAAATAGGAAATAAATATTAATATTACAGGGCTCACAAGCCCTTCAACTAGGAATAATATTTAATAAATTAAAATTAAATTTATGAAATGAATTTGGAAAAATGTGTACTAGAAGAAAAGAATGAATCAAATTAAAAAAATATCTATTTATGTGAAATGGATATCAAACTAACATTTTTAACAAACCCTCAAGTTAGAAAAATGAAATCTGCAGAAGTAAATTAGGAAAAAGAATTGAAATCCATTCTTAACTCCTAATTAATGAATTCGAAAATATTTAACTATCTTATTTGAAAATGGATATTGAACTAACTCCAAACATGAATTAGAGCACCAACAGTGGAAAAAAAGATATGAAACCTACTGTTTGCAAGAAGTCCATGTTTGCACAAAATAATGTGTGCTCTATAGATGTCTTGTGTTTCGTTTTGGAGTTGCTTGTTATTGCTTTGAAGAAGGGAATTCCCTACATCCATTTCCTTAGTGATCTACAAGAAAAAACAATGTCGGTGTTTGTTCCTCTCACAGCACTTAAGAGAGCGAAATGCGGAAGGCTAACCCACTTATAAAAATAAAAAATCACAAAGAAATGTGCGTGGAAATGTCTTTTGCACCATGCCTGTGATATTGGTAAGCCTACCTAGAGGAGTTACATGCTTGAGATAACTTTGCTTGTGATATTGAAGGTGATCTGCAAACATGGAGTGATAAGTGGCCCTTTTTCGCTTTTTTTTACTTTGTGGTTAACCCTAATTCAAGTGTTTGCATGATAGTGATATCAAATATCACAAGTTTGGATGGGCAAATCTCTGGATCTGGATATGAGACATGATGATTGTGTAGACCATCAATTTGAAACATTCAGTTTCTCCATAATGCTTTGCCCTTGTCACAACAGAGGGACAAAAATATATGTACTGGTCATCCCCAGTTTTGTAGTGTGGTCTCTTCTTCCTGAGCAGGTTTTAGAGCCAAGAGGTTGTTAAATAGTCCTTCAACATTCCCTCTTTGAATGAAGTAAGGATCAACACTGCAAGGGGCAATTTCATGCACATATATGTTCTTGATTGTTGTGTGCCTAAGGGAGGTCTGTTCATAAAAATTTCACTACTAGAGTTTTTTAAGATTTCTTTCATTGCAAGATCATGTACTGCCTCTTGAATTGCCCTTTTCAACTGCTTGACAGAATTCTTCACTTCTAGGGCTTGGTCGCCTATTTTTAAATCCTGAAGTTTCACCAGAAGTGCAGTGTCTGTGTCATTGTCCTCTCTGCGAGCCTCAAGGGTCATTCGGCACTCTGGTGGCATCAGTGCATTAATTAGGCAATGCTTGTTCACTAATTACTTTATATTTTGGAAGAGTACTTTTGTGGGCAGAACAGTCATTCCAAAACAGTAAGGACTGGGCCGCCAAATTAGGGAACATTATGGGGCAGTTTGCAGCCCAAGCATTTTGGTGTATGCTTATTTGCAACCATTAAGTTTCCTTTTGCAACTACTACAAAGCAGTCTTAACTTCACTAATCTTTCATACTTAAATAAAGCATTTGACCATTGACTAGTCTGGTTCCTAATTAGCTACTCTTCCACACCTGCATTAAATAAGCTGGATGCACAAGTTACTCTAAGACAGTGGCTAGTCTTGTGCTTAAAGCCTGGTTCTTTGCACAGCAAGGGTAGCATGTTATTGAACATGTTATTTCCCACAGGCTGTTTGTCAAAAGCAAAATGTTTAAAGTAAAATGCTGTTACTTCATTAGAATACGCTTGCACTAAACCGAGATACATATATATTTCAAAAGGACAACATTTGTGTATCTTGTTAAAAGGATGAAAAATATGCTTTACTACACATGACTTGTATTTCAAATCGGCAAGACCACCTTAAAAAAGTCTTCAACTTCAACTTCTTTGAAACAGATGAAATTCAAGCCAACATCAAAATTTGCTACAGTTATATTTCTATGTTCACCATCATGAGGCCCAGATAACTTTTCATTATAATATTAATGTGTATGGAGCAATGATTTGGCTGACTTCAAAACCTAAAAGTCCTGATTACAAGAACTTTTGTTCTTCATTCTCTGTGATCGGCACCCTCTCTTCTTTCTTGTTTTTACCCTTTATGGAAGATTCTAAAGCCAGAAAACAGAAAAAAAACATGGTTAACATTTAGGACAATCAAGAAAGAAGAATCTCAAATGGGCAATTTGAACTCTACAGAAGAGATGTAGCGGCTAATTACCACCAAAACTTTGCCTATTATCCGAAGTACTCAGCAAATTTAAATAATAACTGGGCTTTTTCTCTGCAAGGTATCAAAAGATGCCAGCAACAATACCATACACTTTTCTTGGAGGATAACATTTGGAGGAAGATTTCGCTACTTCATGCACAAACTTAGAAAACCAGTAATTCAAGACAAGGCATTCATCTTGATTAAGGACGTATCCAGCAACTGAACCAAATGGAAATCATAATCTGAATAAATCACTGACTTCAACGTTGGGTACTTTACTCAATCTCTTTTCTTGCTCTTATTGGAATATTCCATATGCCCATTTATTTTCATAATGAGTGGACTTTAGCACGGCACTTTCCACCAACTTAGCCTCTTTATTAGCATATTTTACACTCAAAAACGGTAAAAGCAATCGGCATGCAGCCTCGTGTTTTCGTCAGTTTTCTCTTGTTTGGAGACCCTGATGAAATCCTCTCACTGGTTTTTGAAATAGTACATAAAAGAAACAAAATTGATTGAAATTACCACACAAAAGAGGATTGCACTTGATGGTGAAACTTGTGGTACAGCATTTGGCAAAGAGCAATTTTGCAGAGACTGCACTGCATCAATACAACCTCATGGAAGAAGAACCTGCAAAATAATAATAATAATAATAATAATAATAATGTTACAGAATTTACACTGAAAGGTGACTCTTTATCTGTAAAAATCTACATTAATATTAAAAAGTAAAATTATCATTTGTTTATTTAAAATAAATAAGTAAATAAAGTAATCTAGAATAGATACACATCAAGAAATCAAACATGCATTTGTCCTACTCATAAGATACTTCCTCACTTTAGTTTCAAAATCACTGAAAGACTACAGAGTTCCTTGCAGCAGAGGGTAATGAATTAAAAACATTTGAGGTGCTGTGCTGGAAAGTACCCAACTCAAGGATTACTTTTAATGTCGTTTCTTTTGAAGATCTCAGTGTCTGTGTTGGATTAACGATGTCTAGCTTAAGATAGGATGGCCAGTCATCATAATGCAAGGCTTTAAAGCAGTGTTATATAGATCGGGCATATGCACATAGTGCCCAAGAAGGAAACCTGCAGCAGCTAACTGGACACGTTGTAGGCGCTTCAGTAGGTATTCCAGGATTGGATGACTAACAATGTTAGTGTAGTCAATTTGTGATAAAATCAGGTATTCTGCCAGTTTCTTTCGGACGTGGAAGGGAGTTAAGTGCTTTAATTTTCTAATTACAGCTAGTGCTTCTTAAATCACCAACTAGCTGACTTCAAGATCAGATGGCCTGAAATGATTATACGTCGTCGTGTCATCCACATACTAATGACACACAACTTCAGATGGAAAAGCAGAAGATAGGTCATTTACGTAAAGGTTGAACAAAACGAGTCCTAGAATTGATCCCTGAGGAACCCCATAAGTAGACTGATTTGTGCTGATGAGCAGTTTTCGACTTGCACAAACTGTTTCTGGCCCATTAAATAACTTGTTATCCACCGCAGGACTTTCTCAAAGGCAGCGGTATCTAAAGCTTAAGAGAAGTGTGCCATAACGGCCAGTGTAATTTCACCCTTTTTCATGGCCTGAAGAATATCATCCCTGATCACTAACATTGTTGTTGCAGTGGAGTGACACTTCCAATATAACTGATTTTAGATTGTAAGGTGGCATTCTCCGTGAAAAAACAGTGATTTGGCGGAGAGCCAATTTCTCAAAAGCCTTCGATAATACAGATAGAATAGAGATGGGTCTGTAATCATCATTTGTCTGTGGCTCATCCACCTTAGGAATCAGACTAATGTGCACAGTTTTCCACAACAGGGAATATTCGTTTCTGTCAAGGCATGAGTTGATGATATGCGTGAATGGAGAGGCCAGATGTTTGGCCACTACTTTAGGCCAATACTTCTGAACTATTCAGTCCAGTCAAGCAGTCTGATTGCAGTTCCTTTATCTCTCTCAACACTTCCTGATTAGCTACATGACAGAAACAGAAGGAGGAATGGGAGTCATCTGCAAGACAATCGATCAGCCAGTAGATGAGCACTGCAGACAAAGCAGTGACATGCCTATTAAGATTGTCAGGATCAGCATGGAGCAGTTGTTGGCTTGGATGGAGAATACAATGTATCCTCCATACCTCCTTTGGATGCTTTGAGGAAAGCACAGTGATCACAAACGACCACTTGGCCTTCTTGATCAGGATTTTTAGCTTGTTTAGAGTGTATCTAAACATGTCCCATTTACCTTCCTTAAGAGGGCGTGCATGGGCTTCCTGGGGTTGATTTGAGAGGTTTACTTGCAGGGAGCCAATGCTCTGATCATTTAGCCAGGGCACAGGGGGTTGGGTCACCTTAATTCTCTTCAGCGGTGCATGTCTGTCCAGACATTCTGTAACGAGACGGTTGAAAATTGCAATCTTGTCATTAGGTTTGTCGAAAGCAAACCCGAATTTGGATGAGCTTGTGTCCAGGTGTATAACGTGTAATTTGCGCAAGCTTACGGGGTTTTTTTAATGAGTATTTGTACAGTTTAAATAGGGTTGCATTTTACATTATAGCACACAAGATCCAACTTACTTATCTATCATGACCATGTGCAGCTTGATGCAGCGCAAGCTGATGGGGATGTTCTAAATTCTTAAATAGTTCCAACTTTAGCCATGTGAAACAATTCTCCTAATATTAAATGACTTGTACTAAGTAGTCTAGCTTGATCACGATGATTATGCAAGACTTTTTCTCGACTGATGTTCTATGTTTCTTATTTAGAAGCACATCACCCAGTAATAGGTGATGTTTCCTAAAAGAGATTATCATGTAGAAACCTAGTAAGGGAATGGAAATGCTATATTCTAACACCTAAATAAGGCAAATGAAAACCAAAAAGAAGGTCATGAGCCTATAGAAATAATATTCTTGGGAGAGTGGCCATATCAGATCGTCTGCAAAAGTAATGACTTTATTAGTGGCAATGAGGTAGACAAAAGGTGTTGCATAAACAGGATATTGAAAAGACTGACTTTCCTCCAACAGCATGAAAATGACAAAAATTATAACTTCAAGCCTCATATGTGTACATAAAAGAGTCATGTAGCATGGTAAAAAGGTAATGATAGTCGTTATGAACTCCATTGCAATATGCATGCAAACGTGTTCTTGAGCTAGAGTGCTGCAGACGTGAACAGAGATGGCTGCAAAATTGTTTCTCCTGCCCTTTCTAAAGTTACCTGTCCATGGTACGGCTCTTGATAAGAATACTTCCAGTACCAGTTTGCTAGTGATCATCCCTAGCAATCCAGCAATTAAGATTAAAGACAACTTTTGCCCTGTAGACAACAGACAGCATTACACTTTCAATTGACTTAATTTATCACCTCGTAGTGAAGTTGTCACAGATGCTGTCAGTGAGTAATCTTATTTCCCTTGATGGACCTCTGGCTGTCCACAGTGTTTTTATAGGCCTGGCAAAGTTATTGCACTTGATCTCCTTCAATTTTAAAATATATGGAGATGAATAATTGTCATTAGTTAAGATAATTTGATCTGTTACACCATATCATTGTTAAATTGTACCAGCATTTCTTCAACTTAAGAAACACATGGAGAATCTTTGTCTTTATTTTTGTTATTGTCTACCACAACTTTGTTTGTCTTGGAGATGGCTGCCTTAAATACACCTTTTCTAACAGCTCCATTGTAGTCTGTGGCTCAAGGTGCTAAAGTGTCACACGAATATACCAAAAACCGACTGATCGTGTTTTCTTTTTGAGATGATAAAACACAACTATTTGTTAAGATAGATTGTAAACTGTTTCAAACTAAGGAGCCAATTTTCCTCCCACCTGGCCAAGGTCTTGACAGGATGGATATTGTGGTTAAGAAAGTTTTTATAGTGCTGCAAGGCTTTTCTTACATATTTTATCCAATTACTACTTAATGCAAATGAAGTAGTACTTGAAGAGAAGTCTAATGTGTTCCAAGTATTTAAGCTTCAGTGACTGACTACTAGTGAAACTTGTTCTTTGCTCGTGTGGTGGCTCCATTTAAGAGTTTGAAATGTGTAAATACCAGGTCAGTTCTCTAAGGTGGTGTGTCATCAATATGTTGTGAATGCCTGCATTTTGAATGATGGGGTCCTGGACCAGCAAATAGCAATTTGTGGAAGGTTTGTTATGCCCATGAAAATGCCAAAATAGGTTTCCACCTTGCAATTTATTCTGTCCTTCCACATTTCAGGATACAGCATTTTGGGCAGCTTCCGGTGAATTTATATTGATTTTTTTTGGGTCACAATGTTGTCAAAAACAGAAACCCCAAACGTCTTTTAAAGAAGTTGGCTGGTAAGGGGCTTTTAGAAACATCAAGTTTTATTCTTTTTAGTCCCTAAATTCATCAACCTTCTTGAGCCGGTCACCTGCATTCAAGTCGTGGTCCCTCTAATTCTTACCTTGACATTCTTCTTGAATGTCAATATCAGAATCATGAGAACTTTCATTATTGCTTTCCTTGTCTGAACTTTTCAAATCTGTAATAAGAGCAGAATCTGCCATGTCTAGGCAATAGGGAGGCAATGGTCAAACTAAAGCTTCTCTGTAATCCACTCAGGATTAACAATCATAGGCACAGTCGGGTGGATTTTTTTTGGTCAAAATCTTTTTACTAAAGGAGAACAATGATGAAGGAAATTAAAATCATCCTCCTGGGATGGGACAGAAATAAAAAAATATTCCTGTTTTGTTGGCTGCTTTTGGTTGCTTGAGGAACTAAATGTATTTCTGCTCGGCAGGTTTTGGTAATGAAAGAGTTAATGTCATGTTTCAAGGGCTCTTGTAAATTTCTCTGGGTGCTACCAGTATTTGTGTCACCAACATAACTGCTGATTGCTCATTGGCATAAAATGACTCTGAATGTTGAAGGTCGTAATCTGGGTGTCCTTTTACTTCTCCATTAGCTGTTTTTCTGCTGTAATTGTGTTCAGATCCAAGTATACTATTCAGTAGAAAAAATTGGTCGGAAAAATGTACAGTATTTTTTATCTATAAGCTGGCCTATTTTTGTTAAAGTGTAGACATACATCTTCCCAAAAAAATTTCAAACAAAGGGGTTCAGCTTATAGCCAAGACTTTGATAGTTTTTCCTCTCAATTATTACAATTACAAACGAAAATGTCACGCAAACTCTGTGCTCAGTTTGTAGCCAAGTCAGAATTGATAAAATTTAAGCAACTTGAAGCGAAGAGCAAGATTGCTTTGTGTAAGTGAATAAAACTAAAGCGACTCAAAGCGAAAAACTTTTTTAGTTTGTGTAACTGAATAAAATTCAAGATACTCAAAGCAAACAGTGCCTATACTTTGCATAAATTAATACAATTCAAGTGAATAGTAGCGAAGATTGATAATTGTTTTGCGTAAAATTCAAGTGAATCAAAGCGCAAACGTCTGTTCTCCTTTGAGGAGGTAAATTTCCATAAGCAATAATTTGTGTATAAAAGATGGTTGCTAGTTGTAAAAATGGCTGTACACTTTTAAATTTAACTGAAAATACTTTATTGTGTAATTTCTTTTTTTTATATGTAACTTTGATATTTCAAGATCATTAGATGTTGATTTCATAATAAATCTTACGCAAGGAGACAACTTTATCAGTAGATTTTATTACATATTTGATGGTTATTTAAACAAAAAACTTACACTGCCCACGTATCAACATTGCTTTACAATAATAATAATAATAATAATAATAATAATATTTAACGAGGGAGCCTAACAGTGGGGCCCTCATTAACTAATTAATTCAATTAGTTACCTTAATTGATAAAATAATAATATCGATAATGATGATAATAAAAATAAATAAATAAAATAAATTAAAAGGAGTTTATAAATACATTTAAAGAGTCAAAAGCTTAAAATCGATAACTAATTGAAATATCAAAGTTTAAAATTAATCAAAATCTTTTTAAAAAGTTTTCAGCTTGGATTTAAGAATAGATAAGAGATGTGTATCTTTCAGATCAGTTGGAAGACTGTTCCAGTCTTTCGCAGCTTGATAGATAAATGTTTGTTTACCCCAGTTAGTTGGAGGAAGGGGTAAATGAAGATCATTAGAATGACTTGTGTTATATGAATGGACAGCTTGATTTTTGAT